TACATGAGTCGCATTTTTAATGCTACCTGGCTATTTTTAATACGCTATTAATATAGAATGCTTGTCATTCTCGTACTGTCACTATCATTTTTCTTTGTTGCGCAGAATGGGACCAATCGTGACTATGTAACTAAACGATCTGGGGTCAACATCTTGTGTCTGTCAAACTTGAAACACTGCTCGACGCTGCGGAATGTCTGTATGCCTGAGACTTGGGACCAAGTTGGTTTTACTGGAACGCTATTAGTGTTTGAGTAGGGCTTGACTTTTTCGTAATTCAGGCCTGTCCTGACAACGTTACATGCGATTATCTCGGTATACAAGGTCCGCGCATTAAAAGGACACACTGAAGAGCTACCTAATATCCAAAACAAACAATCACTCCATTCAGCAATGTAGGTTAGTTTTCCATTTATGATGTATAATAAACTTGAATTGACAGTTCCGCAAAGATCTCCACATCCGATGTTAGGAAATAATTTTTCTTTCTAGGTCATATCTTTATACACTGCTAGTTAATAGAAACCCGAATCCATTTAAAGGTGTCTAAAGCCTAACACCGTGGTATGTCTTAGTCAGAATTATACCTCCGTTCTTGGCAAGATCCAAAATGGAGACGCTCGAAACATCCTTTATCGGTCGCGTTGTGATTGAAGCGCTTCTGTTTCTTTTGTTGACGCATCTTGCCGTAAAACTTTTTTCCTTTCCACTCCTTGATGGAAAATATGTTGAAAGAACCCTCCTGGTGTCACAAACTGTTATTGTGATTTTATTGAAACATATATTGATGGAGTACTTTTTTTTTTTTTTTTAATCAAATAGTGTTATAATTTTATAGTACTGTCACATTGGGGCAAGATTAACGTGCTCTGTAACACTGTAGCCTACAGTAGCTTTTATACTATATAAAGCATTCTTTTATATATATAGTACGCTAGGTTTGTAAATTAGAAGAATACAGTCTAGCTTATATTGCATAGTACCATTAATTAGTACAACGATAATGCAGACTGTGTATAGTAAACAAAATATATACAGATAAATAGGTTGATAAAATAAGAAAGCAAATAATTTAGTCGCGTAATGAAACATAGCATGGCAATGATGACGTAGAAACGAATGATGGAACTCAACGAAGAGTAGGAGAAAACGGGCAGCGCTTCATGAAGTCGCTAAGAAACAGTACTATATTATTACTATTTATCAAAGGTTCTATTCTGTTCTAGTATAATGTCAATACATGAAAAAAAAATAGCATTCATCTGAAGTCCTACAAAAGTTGACTTAAGGCAACTTCGATAAATCGGATAAGATTACCAGTTCTTTCTTACAATAATAATAATATATAAAAGTATATTAATAAAGTAAAAATATATAATAAAGGTAATTCTTGTACCGGCGTAATAGTAGCTTCTGGGGTCTTATTGGTCGTTGCCAGTCTACTAGCATCATGATACGCATCGATTTCTCGGCGCGACCACAGTATGGCGCCCCATTACAAGACGTTCTATTTTCTCAATGCTTATTTTGTACCTTGAAATAAAGTGCTGCAAAATGAAGTACACTATTCAGCCTAGTCCTTTTTCGTCAAACCAACCAACCCAAAAATCAGAGAGGGTTTTGGCAAATGAATAAGTATGCACAAGTCTAACTCGTTTCAGATTTAAGGCATGTCTTAAGCTCTAGGCCGACCCTTCCACCTCCGGAGTCTCTCCAAACAGCCCTTCCAAGGTGCGCGTCTTGGGCCTTAGAGCCGTACAACAGAAAAGTATATTTTCGGTCGTAAAAACGCACAGGGTTTTTAGTACATCCAGCTTTTCTACACTTGACAATTGCAATATTTTTCGACACCAAAAAAAATGAGTTTATGAAAAGCAATAATTACAATAATCGTGGGTCATCAATTCGACCCCTGAGGAGACGACATAGCTAAAAGTGATGGCTTGACTTTTCGATAGTTATATGAAGTGCTTCTTACGTTTACTTCTATTTGAAACCGCTGTTGACAGCAAATAGGACATAAAACTCCGATGATGTTATTCTTGTTGTCTGTTCGTTCGTACAAGGGCCTTCGATTACGTATGTATCATTCTGAGATCGCTTAGGAATATTCATTGAGAGATAGTTATCAGAAGTTTACATACAACTAGAGATGATTGCTTTCGAAACTTTTTTACATGAAAAAAGTTCAGTGATGTTACTTAATCCTTAAAGTGATGCGCTATGCTTCAAAATATTGCACGGCCTCCAGACAAAGTGAAGCAGGATGTAAGTTAAACGCTTCAAGTAAAAAAAAAAATTGATACGAAGAGGTTGAAAGACATTTGAATAATTGTTCAATTTATGTACAATAACCTACCATAGGACGAAGAAGATGTTACGCTGATGTATTGAACGACATTATGTATTATTAATGTAAATCCAAGTAGTACCGTAACTTCATGGCATACCACACAAAAGTTGTTTAGATTCTCTACCACATGTTCATTTATATACCTCAGAAAATTTAGCTTTTCACGTTGAAAGCTGGATCACTGGGGCATCTGCATCGAGTCTGCTAGTCTTCGATAAGGGCAAATCGTAACGCCGAAGTCTTTGAGCAATTCGTAAGGTGAGTTTACCTTGTAAGCAATTTCTGGAGACTGGACTATAGCATGCTAATAAAGCATCTAAACAAAATATCGATGAGGTACTATCCTAGAGATTTACTGCTGTTCTATGAGCCAACCTTTATTTAGTAACCTAGATGACAGCTCTTGTACCTTGTTAGCTAAACTGATGGTTTCACTAAGTTTCGATGCGGATGAGAATCAATAGAAGATAAACGTTACCCCATAATGTACAACATATCGCCAATTTCCCGTTCATAGTGTTATGGGTACTGCTTATCTAGGCGTGACAAACAAAGGACAAAACAAGATGCCTATAGAGCCATCTACCTTAATCCGTTCGAATTCATCTAGAAGCATAATGAAATTTCAACATTCAACGCTTAAATCAAGTTTCTATCCGTGTATTTATTCGTGCTAAGCAACACTTGTTACCCTTCGGCAACTTCCCGTGAGCTTTGACGGACAAATAAAGTTGACAGAGATTGTACTGCTAGCTATTAAAAGGAGTGATAGGAACCAAGTTCACCAAACGGTTTTTCATGTTAACTTCTTTTTCGGTAGTAAGGAACTAACTTTTAAGCCGTTGCGCGTTACGACAAGCATTGCCTTTAACGAAAACGTTGTTGACGGAAACCTCAGTTAGCGCTAAATTAGCCTTGTTTCTAGCTGTATCTACCACTGCCTCAGCTTCGACCAACTTTAACAGGAGAGGGATTTTATCTGACCCGCTAAGGTGAGTCATTCTAAAACTTTAGTATCTTGAGAGATATTGTCTAGTACTGCGATGTCAACTTTTCTGTGAGTCATACTGCGCCTCCGCTACTACCGATGTAGTAGACAAACGAAGTTACCTCCCTTATCTTCCAATGGAACTCCAGTAACATCCATGGCTCCATTTTGGGCGAAGGTCAGAATGTGCGTCAGATCTGGCGTGGCTTTTGATTTGGTAAACCGGTGGATCTGACATCTGTATGAAATCAACCGATCGCGTTAATGTCTGCCGCTTGAATGTTCTAAAAAGGAACTTCTATATGGACCACAGCAGGGAGAATCGGTCAATGATTTCTGCGTATTCTTTCTTTATTCGTCTACTTAATTCTCAGGAATATTTTACTTGGGATCGGTGAGCTTCGGACGATTATTACTCAGTTAAACGCAAAATGAGCAGAAATAATAGCTAAGAACTAATTTACTTCTAGAATTCACTAAACACCATATCTGGCTGGAAACCAGGTGAGTAACGTAATGTGGCTTAAGCTATATATTCAATATGCACATTTAGAATGACTCGGCCGAAACTCCGTATGTAAGAATTTCCAGACGTGCCATTGTTTTTATGTTTCGAGTCTTTCATCCGGTATCGCTGCTGGGCGTTCTGTCCATACGGCCGGGTTTCACGTATCTCTATGCCTGGGGTCGAAACTATACCACAACTTGTCTTCAGAATTAGCAGGTAGATAGATACGACCCACTAAGCTATTGCGGGGGCTAACTATTTCGCAGCACGGTGCCGGAACTTAAACTACTCAAATCATAATAACTGAAAATCGGGCTCAGAAAACCACATTCGAAACAGATTCCGTACAGGTAGACCGTTGTGAACCGTCCATGATGTTTAGAAGTTATAAATTTAAGGTCTTCGCTTCTTTTTTATCAAAAAGAATTTTCGAGCCTTAGTGTTAACAACAATGCGTCGACGACAAAAAGATATGATATTCTTGTAGCGCCATGGGTGTCGACCTCAATGCATTCAATTCGATAGTAACTTATTGTCCGTGCAACATCGGGGTAAACCTGGTACGGTTGCGCTTGGGAAGAGAGAGAAGCATCGGAAATCGGCTATCAGTTAGAAGAAGGCCTGAGAATATCACACGTGAGAGTGCGTGAAATCAGTGGATATTCCCCAGCAGATGTCTCTCAGGTACTTTTTACTAATAAAATTCAACTCTTGCGGACTTACCTGGTGAACAGGATGGCTTATTCAGATCGACTCCTTTTCGTTCGTGCTTGAACGCACCCTGAACGCTTTTGTGTCCTCTAGAACCTCTAAGACCGCTCGCAAGTGATACACGTCGTGGCTTCTCTTAGGCTGCTCATCTGAACCCTCTCTTCTACTTGATTCTTCTGTGCCATATGCTATGAAATCATTTAAAAGACGAGCCGAAACACATCAGTGACTCATTCCTTCAGAGCTCAGAAGCCAACCATCGAGCTGATCGAATTTTTTGCAGTAGCCACACGCAAGCATAACCAGTCAACATTCAAATACTTTCCCTAGAGTCTCTGCATGTAGGGTTTGAATTTTACCTCTGTTATTCTGGTTGTGTGACGTGACCGTAAGATACGCCGTTATCAGTGAGTCGTTTTGGAAATTAGTCACGATATACGATGTACGGAATCGATATGATTGTACAAGAATGGCAATCCAACACGGTCAACGAGGCCGAGGTAAGTCGAACTCGTTCCAAGCGGCCGACGACACTTAATCTTAGCTCGGATGATCTCAATAACAACAGCAGTCGAGCGAAGCGGCTTAAAAACCAACTCGCTGTAACCATACTGCCATCGCCTGAATTTGAGCGTCTTGTTTTAGCCTCACCCGAGTTCGAACACTTTCTTAAAGGTGCCTTAGGGGTCATCTCGCCCGTGGAGTCGACACTGGTCACGTCCGAAGCTTGTGCATCACACGAAGCCACTGATGAACAGAAACAATTTGTTAAAGGATTTGAAGAAGCCTTAGAACAGTGCAAGAGACGACACGTTCGCGATATGGTACCAGCTCAAATGTCCGCATTGAACGTACCTTCTACAAGTGCAACAACATTGGCAACGCTTACTGCCACCGCCAGACAGGAATCTGTCGCTATTCAACACACGAGAAATGCAGCGCCATCACAACTATCAGCCGAACCGCATAACCTGGACAAGCTAGATTCGAGCCTGAAGTCAGCGGCCAACTCAACGATGAACAATACTGACCTGTCGCTAATAGCAGAGAACGATTTGACCGAAGAAGCTAAACTTCAGCGTAAACGCCTTCGAAACCGGCTTGCTGCTTCAAAGTGCCGCAAAAAGAAATTAGAACGGATTTTCTTGCTCGAGCAGGAGGTACACGCTCTAAAGATCGAAAAGAGTGAGTATTTAAACAAGATCAACATTCTGGGCGATGAAATAACCCAGTTGCGGCAAAAACTCGCAATGCATAACCAAAACAATCGTTATACTGAGCTTTAACGAGAGGGTCGTTAAAGGTTAGAGCCTTGCTCGTGACAAACTAGATGAAACGACGAGGCATTATCACCGTGTTTCATCCTACCTATTGGAAGAACTTTAACTTGTTTTGTAGCATAGCAGTACTGTACAGAATTGTATTAAAGCTGATAAATCAATTTTCTCTTTGAGTGCAATCAAAGTTACGTTTAGTTTATTTTTTATGGGTGTCCTCTAATCGGTCAGGTTCATAAGCCTTAGGAGATTTACTTTGGACTGCGCGATAGCGAAAGTCACCGCTGCTAAAGGCGCTGAAAGCCATTGACATGCGCTGTGGGGCAAAATGCAGACAATGACATAGATAAAGGCACTGTGAACAGGGCATAAAATCGTTCCCTTCTGCGTACATAAGCATTGCTGCCGGTATACCTAGTGCTCTTTATAAGAAAGATGTATAGATTAATGGATAGGGATAGAATTTGTTATCTTTCAAACAACACGTGGAGTCTCTGTAGTAGACGCAAAATATACCGCCTTGAGATGATCCCTCGGCTGACATTTCAGCCTAGCCTCACGTCAACGGTAGAACTTAGTAAGCAATCAATCAAGTTCACAGACGATACGAACGACGAACTTTGAACGATGAATTGTTGAGAACAATTCTTTTTAGGAACTTTTTAGAAAACTTTCCGTTTAGAACAATAAATTTTAACATGGAAGATAGATAACACAACTTATACGACTGTATTTATTGAAGCGGGCTATAAATAAATACTAACTAATATTTTGTTAATTATTGCCATGTTTGATCTAGCAATAAACTAAATATTACAATTTCTATTTCCAGTACGAGGTGTATACATACATGCTTGAACAAAGTACATCTACTAAAGCACTATCAGTGCTACGTTCGCAATAGAACATATAGCAAATATACTATATATATATATATATATTGTTTTAATTATATCGGCCTTAAAGATTGTGGGTGGGAATATACAATCGATTTAATTCGTCTCGATGGTAACACTTTAAGATTAAGAAAAGCTCTGCCGAGGAGCACATTTGGTAGAGAGTTAGACTTCGTGCAGGTCACTGGCAAATTACGCCAGCCGTGCCCGAGACTCAAACCGTGCTGACGTCTGAATAGCCGCTTCTTCATTGTTGGAAAAATTCTAACGTTTGATAAGTTTCTCGTAGACGAGACCTAGGACGCTGCAGCCTTTTCGACAAGGTCGTCGCCATGTGGATTCGAATTTCGTCGCACGGTTTAAACAATTATATCTTAAAAACCTCCTAAAATGAGCTTCTGTTAGGTGCGGCACTGAGTGCTGAGAGTGAAATGCCAAAATAAACACAGATAGTGGAAATAAGCTTGTGTTTATTACGGTTTCCCTTACCGCAAACGCCGCATTCAATGCAAGCCTTCGAATTCTAGAGCAAAATGTATGCGAAGTACATTACCTTTACGATGAAGAGATACCATACGAATGGAAAAACACGAAGGACAAGTACAGTCGATCGAGGCGGCTCTATTTCATTGGTATTTACTACAGCAACGTCTACCCGTTAACTAAGTAGCAGGAAGATTACCGGTGGGCTTCTTTGTTGTGATAAACATGACTTATCTAACCTGCAAGGCACTGCGAGCAGTGCTAGCTTTCATAAGAGAACTATTAACTAACACTGGTTCGTCCGCCTGTTTTCACCGATAATTTTTGACGACAAGAGAGTTTGCTCTTGGTCGTATCAGGTTTTTGTCGGACCGGCCCAGGCGAGACGTTCTAAAACATTACTTTCTAGGACATTTAGCATCACGGTATTGACACTTTTATCGGTTGATTCAACGTTTGGTACTTACCTATGATTCGAGGCAACAAGCAAACGTTGCGTTTTCAACGAAACTCAAAAGGTCCACATGGTCCTGTTTGGGCAGAGCTTCTGCGATGCGTCAGGCTTCCTGTGCCTTTTAGTCTGATGAAAAGTTTTTTCGGCACCTCTATAGGGCGAAGTCAGAGAATCGCATTAGCCTCCGCCACCTTCGAGTCCTTCTACATAATAAGCTATCGCAAAAAGGGCCCGACCGAAGTCTCGGTGAACTATTCCTCTATAATATTGTTGTGAACTACTATGCAAAGACCTCACATAGTATTTAAATCGATTGCTACATAGCTAAAGTGTCAAACACTTTAAAATGTGTAAAAAGGTGCACAAAGTTTGAAGAGACGTATCCCTAGAGCGTATTTTGAGGCGTTTAATCGGTGACGAATTTTTCACTCCATAGCGGTTGTTGATGCAAAATTTTATGTGTAGAAAAAATGGCTTTCATTTCTCTTTTGCAGAGGCGATAAAGTAGACCATCGATTTAAGGCCAAAAAAAGGAAGTGTTTAGTTTCTTTGATGCTTTGCTCGGCGCGAACGCATTCGATAATAACTACTATTTGCTCAAATTTAGAAAAGAACGCATTGTGTTTCATACATATATTGGGTCTGCTTGAGAGAAAATACATCACTACAGTGTTGTGATTACGATCACATTTACAAGCTCTATCTCTAAAGAGACACCAACATATTTACACATAAGGTAAGCAAAAAACCGAAATGAGTTTTTGCAATAACGTCTGAATTTCCTTTGTGCCCCTATTACTCTGCAAATTTGATCGGTAAAATTACAAGCCCTATCACTAAAGAACTCGCTGAAAAACGCGTTTTCCGCTGGGAAAATTCCAGTCTCAGCTTCGTTGTTGATATCGGGAATTTCGTGGGTGGGAAACGGCCTCCGGCCATTTCAGCGCGTTATACCATCATGAAGAACACACAGCCGAGACTTGGTAGACCCAACAAAAAGGCTCAGCTCAAAGACATAAGAGTTGCAACGTGAAGAAAAACACTTAGCAATGACGATAATAATAATAATAATAATAATAATATTTTTTATTTACATAGAAATAAATTATCTATACTTTTGCCCAAACGAACGTTGGTTGTTGAGCGTTTTTCTGCATTGTCTGCTCAGTTTTTTCGGTAACGCTCCTGGCGCGCTACGCTTTACAGCTGCTCAAAAACAAGTCGCACATAACTCGCTTGACATGCGGTTTACTCTGGTAAGCTATGTGACAGTGGTTTTGATGAGGAAGAAGCCGATTGTAGAGCGCCTTTCTGTCCCACCATACAAACCGTGACGTTCGCAAAGATGAGCCCTTTTTGTTAGATTTGGTAAGGTAAAGCTATCGCGGCAGTGAAAGTCAATTTCGAAGATCGGGCTTATCGGCCAGGGTCAGGACGGATGAATAAAGTTCGGATGTTTAATGCCTCGAGCAATCTATCTAATCTAAGCACTTCTCTCCTCATGGCTCTTCCTGATTCCTTCCATAGATAACCCACTCGGGTCATCTTCATTACGTTGAATACAACCGCCGTGAGGTTCATCGAGATGCGTTTTAGGATACGGATTGTGTGCGTCTCGCGCGTTTACTAAAATTAGCTGTAATAGACCGTCTGTCCATTTCGACTCGATTGTTTGCTTGGCGCAACGGGCGTTATTATTTAGCCTTTATTTCAGCGTGCTCTTAAATCTCTCTTTAAAAAAATATACGAATCGCCCTTTATTTTTTGTTGCACACAACTGCTGCAGAGGTCGCCGAAGCGCCAAAATATTTATACCGTGGACCCATCGTACCGTGCTAACAGAAAGTGCCCGTGTATATTGTAGGCTCAAGTCATAATTTCTGGCCACGCTTCCATAAGCTTTGTGAGAGCAGGGCAATTGTCGGGCCTAGTCGTTCGCGGCACCTAACATTAATAAGCTATGTATGCGATTTCCATTGTTCTTAGTACAGAATCAAAGAACATTTGCCTTGAAGAAGGCCGAAAAACATCCCGTCTCCATTAGGGAAGTCTATGAACAAATTCATCATAAACCCTTTATCAATTTTGGCTATCAACAATTTTCGTAAGCTTCTGGCTGTAAGTCCATTCCGTTAGCCGTTCCGTTAATATCTGATCGACACCTATGGATTGATGCGATCGCCATTACGCTGGACCTGCAGGATGGATTTGCATACTGGTTAGTATAATCTCCTCCACATTAGTATGACCACAATTTCCCGTTTTGTATGACCAAGGATTGTGTTAAGCTAAAATAATATAAATTTCGATATTAATTTGTTATCTAATCATTTTTAATACACTGCAGCTAGCGGCCTGGATATAGCCAAAACCTTCCGTGGTAAAGCTATTTCGATCAACGCTAGGTTTATCTATAGACAAATCGCCGACGGTTTGTAAGGCTTGTCTAGAAGCGAGTAACTGTTGAACGATGAACCAATTCGAGCACTATGTAAATTATAAATCTATTCTTCGGAAAGTTCGTAAGAGCATAGCTAATACCATAGCGTTTCAGTTTCAACAAAATAAAAATCAAATAAACAATAAAAAAAAATTGTATCAACAAACGAGAACATCGGTGTATGACATCGTTTAGTTGTTTGCCTTTAGACTAACAACAAGTTCCTATATTGGAGATATTTAGATGTTTGCCTTCTTTCTATTAATAGCTCAAAACAAGGCTTTGAAAATAGCCAAAAGCACTTTTAAGTTGACGACCACTACCGAGTGAAATGCTTGATGGTGAAGGCTGTTAAGAAGATCTGACACGACACCTCATTATGCTTGAACGAGCCATAACATTTCGATTTATGTTAAATAACTTCAGCATATAACTTAGTCCTTTCGAGCGTGCGACGTTAATCGCGTGCCTTTAGTTATAGATGAGTACTGATCACTTGTCCACGGCCAGGACCGATCCCAATTATTTTCGAGCCGATATAAAGCATATAGTTGTTCATAGAAACCAAGTTTTTTGTTGTCTTTTTAATAAGCTCCTAGTATTCATTTGTATCTATCTAAAAAAAAAGGCGGTTAGGTATCCTTCATGACAAGAAGTATGATAACACAAGTTTTTATGCTATAAAATTTAAGTGGAATGAAATGAGCCTAGGGACATCTAAGACCGTAAATTAGCAATTTACATATAGACGCCATAAATTTAAGACCCGATTGAAATAACTAAACCTATACGAAACTGTAGCCGCTCATATCGCATAAAATGATTAAAATTCAACACATGATGGATAAGAAATAAAATTTCGATAACAAATAATAGACAGTCAGAATATAGGAGCTTGTTTGTTTATTTATTTAGTGTTTTTTTTATATATATTTCGTCATCTTTATATAGCAATCGTCAAAACGGACGCGTCGTGTTTTCCGTATGTTCGCTATTCCTTTGTAACGGTATTTGCATTTAAATGCAACATTTATATGATGCGGGGCATCCCGAATCGTAAAACACGCTACGATATCCTGGTGGGCATCTAAAATGACGAAAGTACATTTTTAAAATGTGTTAAACATCGCAAATTACCAGGTTGCTAATAGGATTTATTGGAAATGGAATATATTTTACATGTATTTTGTCATTCTACATAGTTTTAGCTTCATTTTAGAAACAAAAAAAAAAAACATTTTAGGCTAGTGTCGACTTGACTTAAGTCGGTTAAGGCCGTAAACTCTCCAATTCTAGAAACGAGATATCTGGCTAATTCGCTCTATAAACCGTCTTATAATTAGTTACGGGGTCTAACGTCATTTTTCGTTTTTCGATTAACAAGGTAATTTAATGAAGCTTAATATTTTTAGTACTACCTACATGATGGTCCTCATTCGCTAATAAATCACACTACGGCTGCAAGAATATTCAACACTAACATTTTTATAAAAAAAAAATTTAGACCTTAGTATAAATTTTGCAACAAACACTCATTGGTGATCTTTTCTAAGGGATGTCTATGGCCAAATACGAACGCGTGTTAGAAAACAGTCAGGAAAAAAAAAACACAATCTTATATTTATTACTACTGGATGGCGTTGAGTGGAGGAAGTAGAATGTTAGAACATTATGTATAGCTTATTGTTAGTTTGTCCTAATATCAGTTCGGCATGCTATTGTGCACTTTTCTCCCTCTTAATTAAAACTTAAGGCATTCAGGGCAAAAACTGTGACAATACCTGACACGACAGATGGCTGGACGTTTTCCGAGTCGTTGGGCCTGACAACTGATGGCCAAGGCACCTAAGCAAGCAGAAAAAGAAGAGAGATAAAGAACGAATCGCTAAAGCAGCGTAAATACATACACCTACAACACATTGTATTAATCGGGTTCTCGGAGCTATGGCGCTACAAAATGGGTAAAACAGTTGCAACGTGAGCGAGCACCTATTGCAGTTAGTAGTTATTGTCCCTATTTCAAGAACTACAGCTTCAAACAAATCTAAACATAACTCGGGTCCGATTGATAGGAAGCTACATTTACCGGTTGCGAAAGTCGCGATAAGTACAAAGATGAACATGAATACGTTGACCTTCATTTTGATTCTGCTCAACCGTTTCGTGTTCCTCTGTCTTTCTGTTACGGTAGTGAAAAAAGACTATCTATCGACTCTCGGTAACTATCAACTTGATTGACTGCGAGGCTCTACGATGAGCGGTGTTTGTCGATTTAACAAGTTTCCGTGGGCTTATAAAGTCCGAGCCGTCATCCATTTGCATAATTTATGTTTTATAATTTCGAACGAAATTTGCAATCAGGACGGATTATAAACTACTTAACTGCGAAACGTTTTCTGGTTACTAACTCTCCGTTGACTGGCCTTGCTAAGCCACTCGTAAAGCCCCCTGTGGCAAAGCGATAGAGTGGAATGTGTCTAGTGTGCGATAGAATTATACACACACGTACATTATCGATTAGAGACGGAGAAGTGATATTGTCACGGAGATTTCGTATGGTAAAATAGCGTGGCCTGATTTATACCGAATTAATGCTAGCTTCCTGTAAATAATTTAATAAGATAAACTGTAGATTTGACAAAGGTTTAAAAAAGAACAAAATCATTGCGTTAAGCTATCGATTTTGCGTTCTTGTTTACACACACATGTTTTGCGCGATTCGTTCTCTAGGCTATAGATTTGTACTGGCGCGTTTTGAATGCTGACTAGAACACGTTTGAATCGGGTCTACAAAGACGGATATTCCAATAACAACGGTAATAACTACCTCCTTTATTTGGGTTGGAATATAGCCGTGGCTTGGTTGTCATTCGTATGTCCGCCATGGTATAAATCAACGGAACAGTACGTAAGTATGCTAGTACAGAGACAACGATTTGGAGAGTAAGAGGCATCCCGCCTGTATTATGTACGTGCCAATATTTGCGGAATAAAAGTTACGTTTGTGTAAACTTGTTTGCGTTGCATCGAGGCTTACGTAGCATGAGTAGACAATGGGTATATCTTTGTTGATAAGAGCCGATTACGGTATCGACTGAAAGAATCGTGCTTTGTCAGAGTGACCTTCATCTTACGCCTAGACTCATACCTAAGACGTGGTACTCCCAGCTGATTCCCTCTTAGCACTCTGCGTGTGGAAGCGCTAAAAATTCGATCGCAAAGAAACGGCTGATTAATGTGCAGAGATTCGTAATTATAATATTATATATAATAATTACGAACATAAGATAATAATATAAATAATAAACAGTAATCTTAGCTATTGGGAAATAGAAACGTACCGAAAAGTTTTTATGTAACTGTTTTGAAAAACAACTTGAATTTTTGATGCCAAGTAATTGAGCTTCAATTTACTGATCTCGTTTTTAGCCGTTTACAGTTACAGGGCCAGTTCTTGTGAGGTATTAATAATAGCTTTTATCACTTCCAAAATTACTTACAAAATACCAAGTAACGGTCTTGATCACATACGTGAAATATAACCAAATAAGATTATCGACTAACGAACGTATGGTTAGATTGATGCTAAATATCTATTCACGTACGATCTTGCAGCTGTTGGGCCTGTAGGCTCTTTTCAATCATCAATTGCGACCGAAAGGCAGGTTGACTAAACGTCCAACGTTTTACTATACAGACTGCTTGCTTCGTAACAAAGAAAAAGAACCACCGATTTATTTTCTACGCGTATAACAGACGAAGGAGATACACTCGTATGTAAGAAGGAGTACTTTTCTTCTTTTTTCCCCATAGTTGTTCTTCTACCAATGGGCGTTGCAAAAATCAGCTGACTATTCATGCATTACTGGCCGAAAAACATACATCGTGCCTTCTCTGCTTATTCAAAAAATTATTTACTAGAACCAAATACGAATTCATCGCATATCTTCACTATTTGGATAGGGGAAAATTCGACCACAGCCAAAATCAAACTCACAGCTACACGTACCTATGACATTGTCGTATCTGGCCAGGATTTCATATTTATGCGAACAAATCTACTGCTTCAAAACCAATAGTAATGGATATCTTGATGAGTTTTATTCTCGAACTGCTGTTTTTCAGTGGATCTTCTGATGCCAAGAAGAGCAGAACGAAGTGGACAAGGCTCGTACGGAACGAGATACGGCACTTGGAGGAAGTATATAAGATCTACGCTCTATTCGGCGATACCACTTGTGCTTCCGATCGATGTATGGCTTCCAGTAAAAAGGCATGCGAAATAAGGGATGCAAAGAACCGCCAATAGGTAACGGCGGGAGCTTTTGTTGGGGTCGTGATTGGGTCAGTTTGATAGTAGTCATTCCCGTGTTTGGTTAATATGCCGCTGGAAAAGGCTTCAGCGTCGTGAAGGTCCTATAATGCGATAGTCCTAGAGAATCTGTTCGTGTTTCTTCGAATTATGCTGACTGGTATTTGATGTTTTTGTATTTCTGTTTACTTGTCACACGTCTGTGAGGTCCTCACATTGATGCCATTCGCATGTGTTATCTTTCTAAGCTGACTAACAACGATCTTATCTAGGTGGTTCGCGTCTTTTGACCGGCGTTATGGGCACTTTCTGTCAGGCAGATTACACTGTTGAAAGGTAGTATTTCTCAAAGCTCGTGGATGATGATTATATTTCTAAAGAAAGAAATACATGTTTTGTGTGGGAATACATGTGGAAGACTGCTTTAGTGATATGATCTATATAGGGATTGGGTTTTTAGAATAGGGTCTACAAAATTTGTTCTGGCTTCTCGGAGTTTATGCTAATAAGTACACCTTCAGCTGCACTTCGACTACAAATACACGATGTACTCTACGCTTCAATTTTTTTTTATGTTACTATCAAATGGTCGCTTCTTAAGCGGTTGTTCTGGTATCTAACCCAGCTACAAAAGACTTTCTTTTCGATTTCTGCCACGATACTCGACTACATCGAAAAGTTAAACATTTTATCAACTTACACATATAACGGTTGTATTGAAGTATATTTTATAAAAAATGATACCTCTTCTAGTATAAAATTTACGTGGTATTAAACAGTATATGCGTATGCACACCCGTTTTTAGTTGAATAAAATTGTTAATATTACACTAGCATTAACGCGTGAAATTAAGGACGCGGTTGATTTGATCCTGATGGAAGGCCACGACAAACGAGGTCAAATGCTGCTTCATCCACTGCGAGGTGGTTGGATTTGTCATATGCATTCATAGTCGCCGTAACCGAACATCCACTTCCAATTCATCGCTTTCAAGATTTATCAAGGGTCCCTTGAGACTAGTCCTCCGGACTCGGAGTCGAATTCAAGTTCAACTTAGTTGCTAGTCAACTTAGATCAACTTCCGAGCACAAGTTACGGATGCCACATCAATGTATTCACGCATTAGCACGAACCGGACGTATTGATTACTGTGTGACTTTTCAAATCGGTAATCAGAATTTTTTCTCGTTAATACGTTCGAGACGACCCACGTGGTCCCGCGGATAGGATAGTCTGAAATGTATTAAACGTATTATATTGTTAAGTCCAAGCATCAGTGTATCACACACAATTTAAACAGTTCAATCAAGCAGCATAAAAACCAATACATGTCTGAAAATTTATTAAATAAAAACTTACCTTTGCAAAATTTAACGTGTACTAATGCTTAAATAATGACTACCCATACAGTTTAGTTTTTTTTTATCCGTGCGATACGAATACGATCGAACCTGTTACCAGGTCGGCGGCGTTTAAAGCGTTAACAGGAGCCAAACTGTAGAAAACTTTCTGTTACTCAGCGTCTATTACAGATATGACAAAGATTACTAACCTGATAAAAAGAGACTATCCATTGTGCGCCTTTGGTCTAGTCGGCCACCGCATCGGCGACCGATAGGCATTGTCGACTGCCGTTTGGCAATAGCTTTGCGTAATTTACGGAGCAGTATTTACACGTCAAGTGGCAAATCGTTCCGTTCCAATATGTTAATGAAACGAGGCAAGCATAACAAGTTTTACTAGCATGAACTTGCACGTGTACATCTTTGTTCACGGACGCATTGTGACAAATTTTTGAAGAACTTAACTATCTTGCCTAAAGTGGCCAGTATTGTCCGTTTGCATCTGATTATAACTTTCATAGCCAATAAAATTACCAGCAAACGAGTCGACATTCCGGCAGCGTTGATTTTTCAAATGCCGAGAAATAGCAAGTGATGCTATTGGGGAAAGTTTCAATTGAAAAGTGTCTAATGTTATTTTTGAATAGCTTTTCCCGACAGCTAAAGTTACTACTATTTCTTCTCAAAAACGCGCGCGTCAAACAGCACTTGGCGGACAGGAAAAGGAGTTAGAAAGACCGTAAAACGCTGAGTTAACTCGTCGCAGAATCAACTCATGGCCTGAGTTGCTAAGATATAGGCCACTAGTTACAGCTGTCCATCGAATTTTCACCAACGATTCTGCGTTAACTAAAGAGGTTGGTCGAATGTCGTTTATCCAGTCGAGAAGTTTGCCTGATTTTTAGGGTATGTATGAAATGTGAAGAAAATATTTGAACAGAGAGTTTGGCTATTTACGGCGATACACTGATTTTTGTTATTGAAAGAATACGACTGAGTGCTAAAAATCAACGATTAGTCATTAAGTCTCTGTTCTCACTGAACGGTGGTAGAATCTGTCGAAGATTGATGGAAACACTCGGGAATAGAGAGATTAGAAGCCACTATACTTTTTAGAACCGTCAATTGACAAACGGCGGGTAATCATGGAGGTTTGTACGCGGTCTAATGAAGTCTATCCTAGAGACAAATCCCGCAACACTCAATAGAGAAAACAACCTTTTTTGAAAGATAGAAGGGCAACTGATGTCGATGGCAGGTCCGAACGGATTGCCGTTATTTCTATGTAGCGTTATTAGCCTTTGCTGAACCACCCAAAATAGGGAAATTATTCGGGTAAAACTGCTGTCTATAAGATTATAATCCTATAAGATTTATAATCAAGCGTATTTTTCGGTTTTAAATTTATTTTCAATAACGTCATTCGAATCTTATTGCACTCTGCATGATATATGCACTTTGTCGATCTAGATAAATATAGACCAAAGTAGGACCAAATATAGAATAGGCCAAAACGTCGACCTGATACTTTATTTTGCGTTTAGATTTATAAGCTATATATAGTTTACATTAAGTATTTTCATTTATAGAACATATCGTCCGGTATGTAGTTAACATTATTTAATGGACTCCCTCCCTAATAATTATTCGCTTTTTACCAAACAAAACAATTAAAAGCGATCTAAAATTTGCATAAAATCTTACAATTATGGGATCTATAAAAAAAGAAATAGCCGGTTTAGGCAAAGGGTCCACTCGATGTCCTCGATCTCAGCATCTGATAAGTGTGCTTTGCATCCTCTTTCCTATTATATTTGAGCCAGTTTTGCCATATAATGGCAATGATAGTTCCTATAGTCTAACGTAACCACCATTATTGTTCATACTCTTAGGCTACGGCACGCGCAGGTAAACGTTATTAATCATATATATGTACACTCCACACATAGGCACTAAGTACAAAAGATGACCCTCTTTTGCTCAGAAGTTAACCTATCACCTAGGACAGGTTTGTGGTGGCTTCAAATAGTGTTTTTTTACATGAATTTAGCATTCTATTGTAGGAATACTTAAAGAGAATAAACAGCAAGCTCTACTCAAGTTGAACCGTTACCCAAATGACATGGGGAGTTTTTTTTCTATGCTCGCAGCTACTCCAAAGCACAAAGCCGACCCGGCTACTGGAGCACCATATCTGTCCTGGGAGCTAAGTTTTGATAGTGGTTGAACTGTGGCGAGATCGTTACCCAGGCCAAGAACAGAAACTCAGCTTCTAAGCGGCCGTGGACTGGGTACATCAAGTGCCGTCACGCGAACGCTGTGCTTACCTACAGCAAACCACAAGCACATCCCATCGATCCGGAAAGTTGTCGAAGTGTAGCACTTCTCGAAGCCAGCTGTTCCTAAAAGTGCGACAGCTAATTAAGTGAGACTTCATCTTTCCGTGTTTTTCCGCTATGGGAAATCGTGGGCAGCTACACAGTCACTTTGATAGGTCATTTTCGGATAACTCGAAGAATATGGCTTTTGTTACCCGATTACAGAGTGGATACTGGGTTGCCAAAGGAATACACGCACCCTTCGCAGCGGCTGTGTCCACATTGGCACTGGAACATCCGAGGTCTGGTAAACCCACACTTGGCACACGACATTACACATTTATCCTCGATGAGCTTGACGTCGAACGCGCCAAAGCTAAATGTGAAACCTGCGAATTCCATTGCCGGTTCGATGGAGTGAACAACGAAACTCGCAGGAACAGCGTATCCCTAAATCCTTTTTGCGAAGTACGCGAGGAGGACGATATAAAGGTTCGAGCCGTTTAATCAGAGGAAGCTTAGTCTCCAACCGTGTCTTGATTCTGACCCAGCGTCTAAAATAGTCAAGCCATCTAAGGGGCTCTTCCAACTTGAAACTCACAGATGCTGCTTCAAGATGTCTTGGCCAACGCAGTGTATAGTGCAATATACTCTCTGGGGGAAATCTGTTCAGACGGATGGACGCTTACCCAAGCAATACATCAAACATGTGCTCAAAGGCGTTCTATACTTTAAGGCAAAGAGAGGTCATACTAACACGCTAAATACAACGCTTGATGCTAAAGTAATAGGAGGATCATGAAGGTATCTAATTTGCAGGAATCAATAACGAAGATAGTTTGAGGCGCATGGTGTAACGTAGACATTGTTGACTTGTATATCGTTCTGGAAAAAAATGTAGCATTGCGATTAATCAAATGTACATAATAATATGCCGCTATTAGCTCTATACGAAGAATAGTACGCTGCGGGTAGACAACTGATGTACACCAGGAAGAGAAGCTATATTTGAATATATCTAATAAATACGTGTAAGTAAGTTGGACGATTTTCGAAATGTCTATCGCAGAATTAGCTCGTGCAGTTCTGGCACTCTTACTGTTACTGTCACATGGATTTTCGCAGCGTTCATACGATCTCTGCACCAAACAATGCAAAGCTATCGTCCTTACGGAATGCCATGTAAGTTGAAAACGTAGTCATGCCACTTTTATTTTGACAGGATATATCGAACATTATGTTTAGCATGGTACGACAGGAAGCCTCTGGTCAATAGAGCTAGGAAGGTTGTAATTAACTCTATTCTTGTACTGTTGTAAGCTTCTCGAAGCTGGCGAAAACGTCGCGTTCGATAGCAATGAGCGTGCCGGCTATGCATTCAGCCAAAACGAATTTAAACACGTTAGACTATACTGTGCTTTCAAGTGCATGTGTGCCTAAACCAACCTGGCTAGGATCACCCAAGTGGCCCTTACGGCAGCTTATGCATTTAGTAATTGGCCGAGTTCACACGACTTTCTTGAAAAGGTATACACATATAGATTCAATATGTTAAGTGATGACCCCTATCGTTACAAAACGACTACTCACTTTGAAACTCTCAAAAAACTTAAGTTACCTGGTCTGGTCGTGCCGATTATATTGCCGTTGAGCACTTGTGGCCGGTCAGAACAACTCTTTTTTTAAATCGTAGATTTATGCTGCCGAGATGCTTTGTGATGGTGCATTAGTAGCGTATTTGCTTAATTTATATGTGCGTGGTAATATAGAGCGGATATCGGATGTAAATACGCTGAAACAATTCTTAATGACGGTACTCGGCGTAATTTTTTCACATATATAATTATTTATCTACTATAATGCCGAAACTTGGGCTTTTTTTTTAGTGAATTAGTTATAATTGGGCAATGTTAGTTGATTCACCGGCAGATGTGCAACGGGAGGGGCTATTCGCTTTAAAAGTACTACTTTTATAATTATCATCTTCTTATTCTTCGTAGCAATTTATTTTATCTTTTTCCTTCTTCTTTTTTTTGTCCGTAAAATAAATCTATAAAATATAGGCTACCCGTTCCTAGATCTGTTAGACGAAAATTCGACTAGCTCGTACCTTATTAACTTCTGGAGCCCGAAAACATTATTGACCTTTGATACTCTGACCGTAGACGTGTGGAATTATTGGTCTTTCATTTCACTGAATCAATCAGTCGACCACTATTATCAAAGGCGACCTGTTTGATTTGTGAGACCGCATTTCTTTCGACTAATTAGACATGATGACAAAAACCACTAACGTCTAGCATCATCATTCACTTTCAGTGAGCCGCCAAATTTCCGATACGGCCAGTACGTTCAGCCTTATGATTCTCTGTCTGTAAACACTAGTTTCATTCATCTCCCAAATTTTGTCACACATCGTCGAATTTAGCTCTTGTAAGTATGTCAATGGTAACTAGAGATAAAGGTTGTCGTAGGCCATATAGCGTTCTGAGCAAACATAATACGACGCTCGATGGGTGTCGGTAAATTATAAACGAATCGTTTTCTCTAGCCAAATGAACGCCCCGACTACCAACAAATGTCGATGGCTATTTACCGTATCAGTTACTGAAAACCCAACAGAAGCTTGCACTGAGTCTGCTGGTGCAAAACGGTCGACTGATAGAAAAACAAAGAAATCGAAATGATGCAGTGTGCTTCGCGTCAACCAGCTTACGTGTTTTAATCATTTTCGCCGTTAACGGTTTTCTCGTTAAAAAAACGAGAAAATAGATACTGTGGACTCGCTTCATTGGTTTCGAAATCGCACTCCAGATATATACTCGGATTCAAACTACCTTTGCCTGTATTCGGAATAAAAAATTTATACCTAAATATATTGTAGCTAAGTCTGAAATACGGATAAGGGCCTGTGTCAGAGGGGTGGTCAGAGGCGTGCGTAATGTTAGGATTGTATAAAGAAACGTGGTAGTTAGATCTATGTTGTACTGGTACCTAACATACTTCGCAATTTAATCCATTAATAATAATTAATAGTAACTTAATATAGTAATAAGTAGTTTAAGCAATAACCGTGTGTAGATAATGTATGGCTACAAAACGGTTTTAACTGGCTTACTGCGTGTCATTGGCAGTATCGCATGGATAGCGTTAAACAGTGTCGGACAATAATAGTCGATGTTTCGTACCTATTTGCATTCGCTTTTATGCAATGGCGCATCAAAAATAATTAGATAAGATTACGCACTCGACGCTTGCCGTCTGGCGTCCTGTGCTCGCCCCAGGAGCACACGATGCCGCCCCTGGATAAGTGAAATTGCTATGACTTAAAGCCATTTCCTAGCCTGACCGCGATAACTTTCATAACCAGGTAGTTGTCAGTGTATTATTTGGTATAGCGCATTACAGGAGAGCAAAGGCTCAAATTTACGTCTCACATATAAAAAAGGCTACACCGTGTAGCTCTATAACTGCGTTGCTATGATCAGTACGAACATGCAGCCGCTGGTAATTCAAATTTCAACGTTGGTAAATAATTATGATGGCATATGGTTATCATCCCGCTTCATTAGGTTGTTAAAGGAGCTCTAGACAAATCCGACAAGCCCGAAAAAATGATTCGAAGGATAAACACTCGCGGAGTTTTGGGATTACTTTTTACGACCGATCATGATTTTAATGGTTACTTTTAAGGCAACAATTTGCAGTTTTGTAATGAGATAAACTTTTTTTGTCCTTCGAACACGAATATGCACACTCTTTGTTCCGAACCACATACTTTTGCACCACAAATTTAGTGACTTTATAATATACTTTAGCCTTAATAACAAGCTGAGGTGTGATCTGAGTTCAGTTTATATTAATTTTTACGAAAATTATAATTTTATTGAGTATTACACATATTATTATTACTGTTATATACTATACGCGGCCTCGTCATTAATATTGTTGTGTAAGCATTTCGACTGCCATAATATATATGTTATTTTTAAGATTACATTTGTCAGACCGCAGCTTTCTATATCAGGTTGGTAAAAGGCAGAATTGCTTTATTCCTTTTAATTTGAAGCGAAATCGAACCCGAAGGTTGAAGCTCAGCTTTAATGGCCAGTTTTTGAAGTTAGCTTCATAGAGCGTAGAACATCCAGACACTTTATAGTGCGGGCGTGTCAAGATTCGTGTTGATTTGAGGTAATGAAGTTTTTCGTGTGTGGAGTGTGAAGTAGATGAAGAAGCCACCTTGGAGGATAACTGAGGGTCAACTCAAAACACATCAGGATGATTTGTGTCGTAAAAGCATCACGATATAACATTTTCAATGAGTTTCATCAACGTCATCTTTTAATGTCATCATTGGTATATATTTGCTGGAATCATAAACGAAAAGAAACATTATCTGCTAGCTGGTGTTTATAGTAGCTTACACAAGTAGCGCCTTTGCACGGCTAGCTCGTTCGACGTGTATGAGGAGGATGCATACGATTATTGATAGATATCTCATCTATACCATTGTATGTATGTTCTATACATCCCTGCACGTTTTTTAGTTTAGCGCCAAATTTGCTTTAATTTGGTGATTGGTGCCACACGCACACACACACACACACACTGATCACAATTGCATAGCTTTATTTTTTACCAATAATACACCATATGTCTTAAAATTTTCTTTTCGCTAATGTTGAGATCATACTAATAAGATCTTGTATGTGCAGGTTGGAGTAGAACTCTGTAAGTCAATATTTCTCAGATAAACCTCTAAAAACAACCGTTTCCATAGAAAAAAAAAACAATATGGCAATGACTTCCCCGAAAACTGATCTATTTGGGGAGGAGACATAGAAAAAATGTCAGTGAAATACTTGTACGCCTTTGGCCTGTACAGTTCTTCAAATTAAGATCTTATATGCAAGTGCTGGAGCACTATAGACAATAACGATGCTCTATAAAGAAGTTATTATGCAGCCCCTGCAAAATGGGGATTAAATTTAAAGAATTCAAAAAAACTTAAATGGCTTAAAAAGGTTATTTTTAATATAACTGGATAATCGTTACGGAAACGAATGGCCGTTTTAGAGAGGAAATTATCAGCTGCTACTAAAAACGTTCAAATAAACTCCTAATCTTTTTGGAACTTTTGCTAGGTTTCGCATTTTTAGACCTTTTAATCTATCGTTTTTGGTATGTTTGGCCTGCCATCAGCCCGAAGTTTAATCGTGCTGGCATTTTTCATTTAGCATAGTTAAGTGACACATTTACGAGACAGATAAATATAGCCTGCCGCACGATTACTATTAAAAAGTTACAGGGTAGGTTCTAATATCGTAACCAAGCTGCTTATGCTGGTTTGTTCTCAGAGCCGCTTGGGCATTCTAAACTAAAATGGTGCAAACACACCAAAGTGTATTAGTGGTGAATAGAGAAAGTTATCGAGCAGTAAATGGCCTAGCATGTTTGATAATCATTCGCCTATTTTTAACTTATGGGGCAATACCGTACAGAGAAAGCAGGTAGGTGAAACCCTGCGAATCGTCGAAAATTTATTATCTAATAACAACTTCAAAAAATGAGGACTGTAAGATCTAGAGTTAACCACCACTCAGAATCTGAATGGTATCTTTCTGCTTGAAAATTACAACGGCTTATCAATCCATTAGGAAGTTGTGCCTATGCCATAACTCTGTTATGTACTAGATAGTAAGTAACTGTTGATCAACTGTTTTACAGATTAATCTTAGTTTGCGTATAGAACTTTGTAGGATCGTGTCATCAAGCACAGCTTTTTCGACTATTGTTTCATCAAAGGAAAATGATTCCCTAGGCCAGAAAATCCGTATCTGTTGGAAAATACGTTTAGGGGTTCTACCGTCATCTTAGAAACAGTTGCCAGAATATCGGCGATATTGATACCGGACATTCGGCCAGCATTACTTCTTTTTGAAGGAACATGATCATCGTAGCCAAAGGTACCATCCTAGCCACGAGTTCGAACGTTCCAGCAGCGCCCTAAGCAGGAAATAAATAGACATAGCAGCAGAGAATGGGAACATGTTGTAACGATTTCGCCTATTATTATTATTATTGCTTCACTCATGCGATCTTAAACAATGACAAAAATAGCACACGCAATGTAGTTACTAGAAAAAGTGCCGAAAAATACTAGAAATTGATTATAGTGAACTTTCAAGTAATTTATGGTAGTTTGAATGAATGGGTAGCAGGCGTCCTCTGCGAAGTATGCAGAACGAAGCGGGGTTATTGATCGAAAGTGGCTTTGCATATAGAAATTAATTCTGATACATACGAAGAACTCGACAAGAATTTCCTTCTTGTTCTTTTGAGTACTTGAAGCATAAAATAATTCCAGTTTTGGCACAGTTTGATAATACTTGCCGTATTGTTATAGTCTTCGCTGTTATAATCACTGTTATTACCGCCCTTCGAGTACTCGATAGGCGTCATCGAGGTCGTACACGCCAACACTGTTTTCGCCCATTTCCCGTCCTCCCAGCGCTCCAGCAACCGGAAGAAAAACCACAACGTCGACTATTCAATCTTACTGAACAACTTCAGAGTTAGTCGTCTGGTTAACTCCCTACACTCGACGATTTACTGGAGCCCCCTGATTAAGTCGTGTGCACATCGCTTATCGTCCCCTGAACCCTCTTAAGCGGTTCCTTACTTCTGCTATTTGTCTTTTGCGATTTTGCATCAAGCGTTAGGACGCCGGATTGCGACGTTTCTGCAGGAAGTGACCATTTACAACAGGATATTTGCTGCCTAGTTTAGGTTATTCGCGTGCTACAACGGCCTGCCAGCTTGGGCAGGCAGACTGGCTTTCTTTACTCGATGGTTCTCTACTTCTCTCGCCGAACTGCGCTTCGCATCTCTTTTCTTCGATAGTGGCCAGGGGGGAGGGTGGAATAAGAGTGTTGAAAGGGTTAGCGCAAGGGACACGAGGCCAAGAACACCCATGCTTCTTTTTTCTGACGACGTCACCATAAATCAAAATTTTCCTATCGGCGTCAATTTCAAATTCGGATACCGGCTGGGATGTGACGACTTCTGGCGGCCAACGCTGCTAAATTTCCGACAAAACTTCAAGGCTCAAAACCCAACGACATCAGGACTAACAGGAACTGGCGGAGCCAAAGCAAAAAATCGAGCGAAAACGCAGATAAAGAACGAGGAAACTTTCGTGCTACCAACAGCGGTTGTGTCGGGTTTATAGCGGTGCGATGGCGAGAGTTTTAATGCACCGGCTGGGAAGCAGCAATAGAGAGAGGAGGTGCGAAAGGCGAATCTAGGACACAGCAAGTCTAGCCGGCTTGGGTCTCTAACACGTTTCTATCTAATACTGGGAAAAAAGTCGACTTGGATCCCTAATGCGTTCCTATCTAATATAGAAGAAAAAGTCGACTTGGAGCTCGCGGGAAGTGGCTGGCATCAGTTGGGGGCAAAACAAACCGAGTGGTTACAGCTCCTCTCATTGCCCAAACACACACAAGCGTGGTAGCACACATTACCACTTGGCGGCTGCTGCAACGAAACAAACAATCCAAGTCCCGAAGTGGGATAGCATGTAAATGAAGAACTCCGGATTTCAGGCGGTGGTAGGTGGCCAAAGAAGGGCGATTGGGTGTGTAGCAATTGTTGTATCAGAAACAATTGCAGCAATCAAAAATGATTGCAGAAAACACTGAACAAAATCGATCTCCGAATTCAAACGACGATGGCACAATGTATCTGAATCATTCTCGCTCAGCTTGGCCCAGTGCGCGCTCGTACATCAGAAACGTTACGTGGTGCCCAGCGTCACAGTGTGTGGTCCGGCAGAAAACGCACCAATAACTATATTAGGCTCAATATTTAAGACGGTTTCACCGGCCATTTCCGATACTGTTTCAACATGCATCAAGTCGAAATGTAGCGATGAAGAAAGACCGATAACAATGGTAATAATAAAATCTGCATCCATGCGGCTCTATAGGTACAGTAAGTTGCCGAGCATCTACCATGTAGCCATAAAGAATAGGATTAGTCGATATATAGCATTCCAATATAAGTTTAGACTGATGTATTAATGTATTTATGTGATTGTTTGCGCTGAATTTAAGGACGGTCAACTTTTTATTTGGAACCGGTACATATTATGTGTTTTCCAGTTCGTAAGGGAATATTAGTATTATCATGCCTTTTCCCACTGCACTTTGATATCAGCATGTTTATCTATTGGCCTCATAAGCTGAACTTACTCACGTATTTGACAGTGTAGAGAAAAAAGATGATCCTGATAAGGTAAACTCATAACGCGCAAAGAAATCCTAACCCCACTAGACAGTGATACTTTCGTGCAGGCTAACAAAAATGCTAGACGTTCAATAATGAAGAAAAAAAGACAAAGAAGCGGACCGCGTCGATTCAGATGCTGTTCAGAACCATTTAATGCCCGCAAGATCGAGCTGGCACATCTGTATATTATCGTATAATGAAAATCAGTTTAATAGGGCACGCAACTGCTACTTGTTGATCTGTAGACAGACATCTCTGCATAGAAGCAATTTTATTTCCCCTGAGTACGAATATAACTGAATTTTATAGTAACATGGGCTCATATATGCCATGCATCTACAATGTGGTCCAATGTTCTGCCCTGTTTACAATAGATATAAATTTATGTGAATAATAAGTAAAATACTAAAAGCTGCTCAATCTAGCAGAACTGAAAGCATTTCCGCGTTAATATTTCGAGTTATGTTTATATATAGATGTACTGCACGTGTCTGTGTAGGTATACATAAAGAGGTAGCAACTCAGGTAAAACCAACGGTCAATCTTTGTACTCGTGATCGTGTAGACGTGATCAAAAAAGGGCAAACCGCGTTCCATCTCAATAACCAATGATCACTGTGGTATTACTCATATAGCAATATTTTCGCATCCTTTGGCCTATTTTTCTGCTTCCTGAGGGCCCACGGTGTTACCTACTAGTCAAGAAGACGATGGCTCTCGACGCTTAAGCACTGCCATCGCATCAATAAGTAAAGTGGATCTTAAGCGGACAGAGCTGTCCTAAATAAAACTATATAGTGTAATATCGTTAAAAAAAGCAGTCGAAGTACCCTGTGCACAGGGCCTCTTTGTTCAAAATGCTCGTACCACTGACACATGAGGATTGCTGTCGGTGAATTCAGCCAGTCGTCTCGTTGGGTCGTCCATCGGATTTTTAATATTGTAAGCGTTGATTTCTGGCCAATGTTCAATAGGCTTTCTATAGAAATAAGCTTTCTGCCGATATGCACACTGTGCATGTACGCATAGCTGTTAGTTACTGTCATGCTTGTATTCATCAAAAGGACTGCTAAAGAATAGGCGGTAACCCATCCTGAACGTATGCTTTCAACTCTCACGTTTATGACTGGCTTATTTGAACTTCGTATCGGCATATACGTCTTTCTGTAGCGTGGATACAGGATATTGGGAATAATTTTTTTTGCTACAGACTAATAGCGGAATATTTTACAAGGCTGCATGAAGTTGCATAGCGTGTGTGCATGAACGAGGATGTGTTTCGCCTGCGAAACTGGTGATACGGACGTCATCGAGGCGTTGTTTTGCGTTTGTTCAAATGAAGTCACTATTTGACATTCAACTGACCGGAATATTCTAGTATATTAAGATACTGAACTAACTAAAATGAGCAGAGCGTCGCTATTTTGAACTCATCTAATCTGTACTATGCATCAGGCGCCCCCCAAAGCGGGGTATAAAGCTTAGCGGCTGACGAATTTAGTGGAGCTGCTATCTTACAGAAGAATGGGTACATGCGAAAGAAAATGGGTTTCTTGCCATTATGGAAGCTCTTAAGATGCCTCCTTCTTGTTCAGGGCCCCAAAATGCCACAGAGCAGACGTGCAGTTCCCTTCAGGATTTGTTTTGGGAATGGTTCAGGCGTGTCATTTTTGCCTGTCGTTAGTGTCTCCACTTCACACTTTCTATGTGGGACTACTGCTGCTGCGATTTTTACCCAGTGAAAACCTCACTTTTACTGTTTTATTGCGCTGTGGACCCAGTTGAAGTCAGGAAATGATGCCGTTACTAGCGTCCGGTTTGCCTTTCGCTCCACATTTGCCGTTAATCGTTAAAGCAGACTCCTATGCGCGCGAATGCAGTGCAACAGGAAAGTGTACAGGGAAGCAGCATATAGCCAAACTGTTGGAGCCGCTGCAGAGACCGCAGTCGTGATGGCACGCCACCAGCGTTTGGACAGTCGTCTTAATAGTGGTTGGATAGTCGTCACTCCATTATTGTAAAAGACGTGTAGTTGCAAAATTTTCACCATTAGCGCGGAAGCTATTATGATGACTGAAGAGTCCATGCAGTTTCCTGCTCGAAATGACCGGTTGTTTCGAGAAACCATTTTTCGGCAGAGTCGTATTCGATCTAATTTCTCGGCTCTTTTTGACTCTTGACACATCAGTGTAGATCGTTTCTCTGGTGGAATGAGGTGCGATCAACAGGGTAGAATGCAGGGAAAAGGTAATTGAACGATAAAAAAGCATCTGCCAGAAAATTAGATCAGGGTAGCAGACGGGTTATCTTCAATACAACACAAGATCCTTTTCTGCCTGACACCACGTTTTAATATTTTCAACTATCATCTGGTTAATTGTTCATTATCCGTTAGATTCTGAGAAGAAGCATACGGACGGTGGATATAAGATTTTTTTTAAATCTAGCGAGATTAAACCAGATTTCCATGTAATGGCATTAAAGTGTCTAATCTTTAGACATGACGATAGAGCATCGATACCCAATCTTTGTTTTTTTTTTGATAGGGCTGATGCCATTGAAGTTGTCTGTTGTTTATTCTAGGGAAACTATGGTCGCATTAACATATATGTAAACCATGATGCGACACATGGGCCAATGTAAAGTTATCCAGCGATTTTATGACGACCTTTGTAAGTTCTTAAAGTTCAAAAACTATTTAATCATATACATTCTGGAGTACATTAGTATCAGCGGACTGGTAGTATTTGCACAGTAGCTTTCTCTAACTGATTCTCTTCGTCTACGTTAATGATAACGTAAGCTCTAACGGAGAGAAATCGTTATTTTTAAATAATTTCCTATGTGACGACGTACGATTACAATGAATGCAAAAAAAGTACGATAATAATAACTATGTTCATTTTATATCAAAACGTCGCCCGCATTTTACTTTGTTCTATTTAGAAGTGAATTACGTACGATTTTTTTTATCGCGATACCGCACTGATAAATTTTGCCAAAGCCTTTCATTCCCCAGTCGGTACCCCAAGAATTCTTGACAAGCCAGTAATCATGGGTTTTATCAGTACCATAGCCGATGAGCAAGATGACGTGATCAGCTTTTTGGTCGCATTCGGGACTTTCGTGGAGACCTTTACTGCAAAAATGAAAATCTCTTTTGTTGGCACTGAGCGCAACGGTTAAGGGTCCGTATTCAACGAGAGTCTTGGCCAGAGTCTGCTCGTGCTTCGAGCGGATATAGCCATACTTCACTCGTTTGCCACCCCTTTTTCTACACTCTTGGTGAGTCTTAGTGTGTGCGGAGTTATAGTGACTTTCAAGACGAATACCAAACCCACTAACGTAGTGAATGGCAATGGCCTCAGCTCCTCGTTTGCACCCGTTATTAAGATAATTCCTAATTCTGAAAGTGCAATCGATAATCTTCCGCTCAGAAAGGTCAAGGAGGTCGCCAGTCTTCTTAGCAATAGCGGACTCGATGGCGGCCAGGGCGGCCAAGGCATAGCAGGACGAACAATCATCCTAGTTCTAAAAAACGCATACCAGTAAATTAGGCCGATGCCCAATTAAATGAACAATTTTTTACAACTTAAAACACTTGAATCAGGTGCAAGTGATTACCTGAATAAAAACTTGTATAGCTGCAAAACGTGCACGACAATGTCAACATATCTTCATAGGGGGCGCAATTGGAAGCAGTTGAGACTGTCGTTATCATGACGCTGGTAGCGATGTGCTTTTCCTTCAGTCGACGCTATCAGGAACACGAACTTCTCCCAAAGAGATAAGTTTAGTGTCGTTGCCACTCTCCACGTCTATAGTCTTCATAACAAGTAACGTAGGTTTAACCTCATTGTGGTTAAGATCAGACAGTTGGTTATGACCGAGCATGTATCCAACCTCACTATGGTAGTAACGGGCATTGCGCTCTTCGATTTCGAGGGTAGACTGAAGGAAGTTATTGAAGCGCGCCTCCTCCTCGGTGGACGGGAATTGTTTCCCTATTGACAAAAATATCAAAGTAAAACGCTTTTGCTAGGCGTTTGTAATGCACGCTCAACGACAGTTAGAACCGTAATCTTCTACGGCAGACTACTCAAGAAGGAACTGAAGTATTTTTGTTCAAATGATTCATATGATCTAATGAGCTTTCAAGCCTATATTGTATTATTTTTACGAATCATACGTATTTCGTCCGCAAGTAACTCGCTATACACTGTGTCTTACTGTGCTTGATGGTATGAATAACCTTTTGGTAAATGGCCGAGGCACTCACAAGAAGATAGGCACTCTCAACAAATAACTTCATCTCTAATTGTAGGTCTGATTACTCAGGGGCTAGCAGGAACTCTGAGCGTGGTGCCGCATAAGACTTCCAATAGGAGACGCATGATGTCAACGTGGTTCTGATTTGGCTCGTTCCATTGGTGACCATAGATGACCGTGAACTCTGAACGTGTCAATTGCGTGCCAGAAACAGAACGGAACTCAGTCTCTATTTCGGTTAGAATATTCATTACTGCAGCCTGTGCTAGCATGAAATAACCTTAACATTTAGCCTGACATAAGATCCATGTATTTTACGCGGCATGCTGCCGTTCCAATCGTCGTAATACTATCGATAATTTCCAAAATAGGATGAGCGATGAGGGATTGTTGTTAGATCGATACCTTTTTGTGGCCTGCTGAAATGGAGTTCTTCGAACAGCATACGTAACTTAGATTGAGCTAGCAAGATGTCTAAGTCTATTTGCTTCAAGACCTATGCTGCACACGCTTAATCAGACACCGCTTCGAAAAATCCTCTATTACTAACAATAATGCCAAATTCATCTTGAAAGGTTACGAGGAATTGAACACGTCAACACGGAGTGAATTAGTAGTAGAAGCCGCTTTTTTTTTATGAGGTTTCGCCTTCGACATTACTCTAGTTATTTAATATGAGCCGACTAGTAGTATAGAGAAGCCCTTCTTAATGCAAAATACTTATAATGGCTTGAAGGTATAATTTTCACAAACGGAACAGAGATCATCTTTTCTTCGAGCCCTAAAAAGAGCCTTTGCTGAAAAGTTGTTTACTATACCTAAACTATTTGGAATAGCTTAGATGGTTTGACGCAGCATATCGATGAAAAAGAAAAGGCCGTCGATCCTTCATCGCTGAATTGAAATGCATAACTTGTAGTTATCTAAGCTCCATATATGTAGTATTTTCTAGCTACTACATGCTAGATTCTTGTGAACACAGGTTAAGCCTAGCAATGTTTTTATTCGAAGAGGAGAAGCAACATTTGAAAGATTGGATGCAATGGGGCTTGCTTGACGACAAAATGCATTTTGTCACGAACTGCACAATTCATCATTTCAGTCATTTATTATCTATTATTATATCTAAAGCCGAAAATAGAATAAGAACAAAAGCATATAAAGTTAAGATATTAATATAATCACTTTCCTATTAAGTAAGGAAGTTGACGCTATCCATTATCATGACATTTTAAGCATCAAGATACCTAGAGATGCACGTGCCAGCTGTTTCTCACTTCCAGACCTTTTACAGTCCGCTGCTGTTGTGTAAATATATTTCTATAATTTTCTCTTCATATGAATGAAGTGGACCAGCGTATTACTAAGCTCAAATGTTCTATGAATAAGGGACGCCGGCTAGTGAATACAGAAAGCGATGTTATGCTCGTATGTGTACACCTAAGATCCCCTATGGTAAAATAGGCAGCTATGATCTAGATCCATAGAGCAACGGCGATCTCATATCAGATTTGAGTATTTGGTGACAGAAATAGCAAACAGAAACGGACTTATCTCCCTGTACGTGCTCTATTGCTATGTTCTCTGTTACAGTCAGATGTTTTTCCACTGCGGTTGATTACTTGATTAATACTTGTGTCAGAATCTAGCCGGTGGTAAAATACAACGTAACGTGCTACCGTTAAGCGAGAGCGACACGTCTTTTTCCACTAGATATAGTTTTCAGTGAGCTTTAATCATTGACGAAGGATCGAACAAATAGTCAATAAGAGCTACCGTGAACGACACTAACATTTGTAATGACGTATCTGTTAGTAAATCTAGAGTGTGTCGATATCTTTCTTCACTAACTGCGAGCATAGCAAAATATAGGCGGTAAAGCTGTTCGAATAAGATGAGGGCAATTTAAACCAAGTCACGAATTCTCGTCCCATCCGACCGCTGCTAGGTTAATGTCGTCGCCTACAGATAAATCTTTAGTAGTACCTCGGTTGTATACGATATGATCTTCTGATGTATGCTTTCTGAAACGTCTTGTAAGCTACGCAATATTGCACAACACAAAACAAATAGAGATACATCAGTCGTAGATATCATACGGATAACTAGCATCTTTTACATATGGGTAACTGTATAAACACAGCTGTTAGCTACACGAAAGGATAACTGGAGGACAGCAGTAGGACAAGGCACAACAGGGATGACGTTCAGGTTAGCCACTGTTTGATATGTCACTCTATTACGCCATGGCGAAAACGTCAAGGTCGGTTGCATAGACGAAGTAACGTAAACTAGCACCAGATACGAACAGATAAGGCAAGAAGAAATCATGTATAGCTTTATGAGACAACATGACTATATTACATAGGTACTACCATTTGACGGGGTTACGATGGGGGTTACGGTGACAAAGGCAAAACGCTGCCTGGTAGCTACTTAACCACCTGGAAAATTGTGCCACTAGACAAACGTTTGATGCGTGGAGTTCCGTGATCTTCCAACCATTCGGTTGTTATTGTAGGGAAACTCCGCGTGACGACGGTCGACCCTAGTTCCTCGTTCGAACTAGCGTTCGATACGCTAGTAGCGTTACCGCTGTGAAGAGTGTCCGTCCGTCCGTTTATAATCGCGTGGTAGCCAGAACGCACTAAGGCAGTGCCAGTTCCAATACAAGAAGTATAACAGTTTACTGATCTCTAAGAGCCCTACCGCTGGCCAATTTTGCGTTGACATGAGACCCTCTGCCGCTTCCACCTTACATGTTTTCTTCTCAAAAGGTACGAAATAGGCTGACAGCCGTCCGGGTGCGCCACTACAGTGAGAGTGTGGCTTGACATCGGAAAGACTGGGCATGGGGCAGCTTAGAATAGCTTTTCGAGCGACCAATTAGTTAAGGACCTCTACGAACCAAAGCTCAGTCTGAGCAAAGCAACGATATCCTGAGCCTATTTTTTCAGTCAGCAGATCGATCTGGCATATCAGAAAGAAAGCGAAAGAAGGTCCACGCGATCGTGCTGGACTACGACCCTGCAAGTAGAACTACGTGGCGATCATTTGTGAGTTGCAATGGCCAGTGGCCGGTGATCCTTTATCATTCTATTGGAAATGTCTAGCAGTAGTATAGAATCGTGCAACTGGAGCTAGGGTAGGCGAACAGGAATGATTCAGGAAAAAAAGACATGGCAAAGATATTTGGGTTTTCGGATTGGTCAAGGCGCGGTCCTCTGTTTGGCAGGCCATCGGTTTTTCGGGTGAACGATGACAGCGGAAATGCCAGGTGCAGCGAGGCATTCAACCGTTTCGTTGACAAATAGACTCCATCCTTAAATTCTTTTAGGCCACGAATGGGGCCGTGTTCCCTATGCCACTCCCGGATTCTGAGAGTAGCGTGACCGTACCAAAGATCATCACGTTGGTTCATATAACGTTGGTATGCTCTTACCCCGGCGAAACATGTATAGTTTTTTCGTGTCCAATGATCGTGATGCCAACTAGTACTGTCTATACGCGTGACTGGCACAATTCCTTATATAGCGAACAACTGTCTAATTCAAAGCGCCGATCAAGGTGGGTTTAGAATGCAAGAAAGTAAATTATTACTTAGACTAAAAACGGTAACCGGGAAAAGATATTGTTAAAGAATACATGCTTCAGTGATTACTAGGTGATGTATCATTTTCCCAATTTTTTTTTCTTGATTGTGGAGTACTTTGTAAGATCGCCATATCTACTCTAATAGCATCACTAACCTTTCGGTTTCAATTTTTTGGATAAAGTTAGGCACGTATATGTACGCTTTTCTATGAAGTTTTATAAGCCAACATTTTCGTATTAGAACTTACGCTGGTCGGTGCGTTGTCAGGACCGTCAACGACTAAATCAAGTGCTAGGGACGAAGCGGTAGGTATTTAACGAAGCATACTTTGTAGTCCTCTGTGAGCGTTCTGATCGATAAATTTGCATGCTAATTCTGTTTGTGTTAGAACGACCAACGTAATAACACAGCGCGTCTCCCTTGGGCCGTATATCTTCTAGAGCTTATAGGACTATATATCTCCATAGAATTTTTAGGCTGATGTTAATATATATATTAACTTATTTTTAACATATTAGCTTATATTTCATTATAGTACATGTTTAATGGAGGATCCAAGTGAGCCACAAAGCTATTCATAAAAAAGTATTCTATTACTATAAACGAAAGCTGTTCCCGGAACACTGTTATACTCTTGAACGCGCCATCCCCGTCTCTTTGTGCGTACCGTTTTGCCAGCGATTGCTACTAGCAAAAAAATAAATTGATCTACCAGCTGACCAGATATAGGCAATATTCGTGCGTATCATACAATATGCAATCATCGATCTTATAGTTGATTAAAGGAAATGATAGCTCGTACGAGTGTAAGCAACTGCTCTATGTAAGCCCCGTGTTAAAACCGTGTCGTTTTGAATAACTTCGAATTTGTCTATATTGACCTGCCTATTTAACAAATTTGAGATTCGAACGCAGGCCCAACCACCTTTCGGATTGCTTACGTGTAACCAGTCCATTAACACTACTGTTAGAAGTGGCCAATTAAGCCTTCAAGAACATTGATGAAAGTAACTAACCCTAACTCGCTAACCTATTCTACTCTCGGATCAGCATTATGCGTCACATCTCGCGTAACACGTTTTATTTCACCTAATCGATTTCTAAAACCGTGGGTGAGTTTAAGCCGGAACCAGAACCGAAATCTTATACTTGCTAGCATGCGCACTAGGTATGACAGTTGGGAATGTATTGTTTGTGAGTAACTACGGCGTTACCTGATCAAATACTAGCTGGCAGTATGAACTGGCCGGAAATAGGTATAGGTATATCGTACGCTAACAAATATGGCCGCGTTATGAAAAAGCATCGTCAGAATAAGCAATGGCATCTCCGCAACGAAGGACCAGGGTCGTTGTCAAATGACGTTGTCCTAGAGGGCGCTGTTCTGGGTCCATTTCGAGCCATCGAGACGCCAGAGACTTCTTGCTGGAATAAAATAGGCGAATCCGCTGGTCCCCGTGTCTTCATATATCTTCGTACATTTTTTACCTTGAAGTTGCGCTGCAACTTGCTCCGCAACCGTTGTCAGCCCAATCGAAGCTTGTCCAGCTTCGCTGATCCTCGTGTTGTTTGGTGCCCCTGGTAGCGTGATTACGGCATCTCAGTCTTCTGGTCATTCCGCAACCGCTATCCTTTGTTAATTCTAAAGCTAACTGCTTGCCTCCCTTCATTCTTTTGTTTTGTCCAGAACCACGATCCCCTGACGGATGCAGAGCCAAGCCGGTGATCATGCAGAGACAATGAACGATGGTAAACTGCGCAAGAAATAGGAACGGCGAGAGCAAAAAATAAGCAACATAAACAGGGTTAAAAGAGATTGTTCTCTTTTTTTTCATGACCTGTCTGTTTTCAGTGTCCAGACAGAGACGCAACGTATAAAACGACCAGGGCCAGAATCGGGAACCGACGCCAAGACCGAGTGAACTGCCGGTTCACTCGGTCTTGGCCGATGGTTCACTCGGGCCATACGCGAAGAAACAGTCAACAAACTACTAACCAGCAATGCTGTGCTATTCGTCGGAGATAACAGTGTTTGCGAGACACTCGGCGAGAGCTTTGCGGCGAGAGCTGGGCAGCGAACGGTGGACCTAACGGAGGCTGCGATCGTTTCGCCATCGCAAGACGGTCGGCTCTGCTTTCTTGTCCGATGTCGGCAGAAAAAGGGGACATTGACGTCGGCAGCAAAGGCCACAGCGGCACAAGCGAGATAGAGTCGCACGCCGTTAATATTAGAAGGAGGAAAACACGATAGAGGGAGATACAGGGAATCTGGCTCGCTGAGGGATGGAATAGAACAGGAGGGCTGCGAAATCTCGGAACGAAAAAACGCGCAGAAGAAATTCGGCCACAATACAAAAATAGAAAGAATGAGTACTAAGGACAGACGAACATCTCCCACTATCGCGTGGCGGTGAACCTGCGACAACGTCGAGGCAAGCAGCAGAACGAATGGACGAAAGTCAGCGGGAGGACCTAGTAAGCGGCGTAACAAAGGCTACGAGTACAGCGGACTACAATTGCGAAATGGGCTCACAGTGAACCCAGTTGTATGAAAATGATAAGTACAGATGCACAGAGTTCCGAGATGTCAAAAATTAATGGTCAGCTAACTTCTGTCTGTAGCTCTCAACCCGTGACTGCATTCGTATCGGTGGCAATATAAAACTAGGCACGATGTTAGTAATGAGTGCTTCCTAAAGCTGTTAGACCACTGCGTGTGTTTTACAATTTTCGTGGTCGTTTTTCTTAGAATATATTCGATAGTTAATTTTTGTTGGGTATACACTTAAAAATATTTTTCTTAGGATTCTTTTTACGATCTATGGGATACAGATGTTTTGGCTATAAATCCAAAATTTGCGTGTGTTCTACAGTGTAGTCGGCGAAGTCGAATATTGCATACCATATTTACCTGTGAATAGAATTATTTTGTGTATACATATATTTAGACAAGGGTTTTTGTCGTAAGAAATCGTCATGTAAACGATTTGAAAAATAGCATCTACTAATAACGAAGATAGGTGTAATTCGTACCGGAACCGGATGTTCCTTGTCGCCGCAGAAGCGACATCCGCTGCCAAACTAGCGGAGGGATGCTCAACTGATTTTTTTTCGAAAAATAGGGGTTTACTGGCATCATCTAAACTATACTTACGTCTTTCGACCAATGAGGTTACGATTGCTCACCGACATGTTGACTGACGTTGACATGAGTTTTATTAAAATGTCGATCGAGTCCTCTGCTATATAACGTGTTGCCAATAGATTCCATGGCTATTGGTTTGTACGAGAACACCCTCGCTCACAGCAAAGAAAAGGGCCGCTGACGCGATCCCGCGCTCGAGTCCACCACAAAAAACCTATTTTGGCAGACTGTGCTAGCACTACAGCTAAGTTTTAGGTCACTACGGCATTATGTTTTAATAAGAAATTTATTTAAAACTTCATCAACTTATTATATGGCTTTTTTATCGCTTTTGCAGCAATTTTGTTGCCGAAGAGCATTAGTCTAACCATACGATTTATTTGCTATTTTTATTAGATACTCGACACTCGAATATTATACGATCTGATACAGTAAGTAATTTTTCGTAAGTTTATGATTCATGAAGATCCGCTAGATTAGCTTCAACATTACCTTCTTCTATGACCATTTGATCGTATAAAAAGCTTCAACATTTATATTGCCGTTTGGAGTACGCCTAAAAAACACACAGGGCACATTGAAGTTACTTCCTTTTGTACTAAACATTTTATTTAGCCTAAATTAACTGTTTCAATTGAATTTCTTATTATGGCATTCTAAATCAATATATAAACAGAGATGCGCACGTTACTTTACCATTTATTTTATAATATTCGTTTTAATAACCCTTTGTATATGTACAAATAATTATTTATTTATTATATAATTATTAAAATTTTACATCATCAGAGTTATGTTCGTCGTGTCTGTCGCCACTTGCATCCTTATTCCGATAATAATTAACTGAGATTATTTTTTTGTAATTTTCGTAAATATATCACATTTTACGCATCACACTTATCGCCCATAAAAACATAATGTGGACAAATAAAGAGAGCAACTCTTTCGGCCATTATAATATGTTCATCCCAATATAATTTAACGTAAACTAAACAGCGTTCGTTGGCGAGATGAGTTGTCAATAATACGACCTAAACAGTCCCACAGAAAAGCTACCCGTTCTAAGTTAGGCCATCAGTCGAGTTTTATGTACTCGGGCAGAGCGTATAGAACCCAATCAAGGAGAAATTACCGGAACGGAAAGCAATGCTTAATAAGACCACTATGAAATTGAGATCATCAATACCATTTTCCCACCATATTTACGGATGAACTATTGTCTTCGTGTTCGTCACTTTAGCCAGCTTCCTGCTAACACATGTCATGCTTATATTGCTTTCATTTGAAGCGACCTAATCGTTCGCTTGTATCCATCATTTTTACGGCATGCTGTCTATCTTCCCTTTCTTTATTACGTTCCGTTCGTTTAGTCTCCTGAGAGAACAGTTACGTCCGATCAACAACTATGGAAATAAGCACGAATCTCACTTTCCTTTACCGCATCGGCCCGAGTCACCTTAACTTCAACCTGGGCCCGTTGCACACGTGCCTTTCACGTGGTAACTCCGATAGTAGCAGAAACCTATATCAACGATCGCTATACAGGTCGAAACTCTACAAAATATGCATCCGTTATCATTGACCATTAGGATGGTTACGTTTTCGGAATCAACTCTAGGCGTCGTCGTCGTCGTCCTCGTTGTCGTCGTTGTTGTTATGCTGCATAGAAAAAAAGGACACCGGCTATTCTACTGGTGTCTTTGCCATACTTTATAGTGGCAGTATTCTTTTCCATTGTCGTACTAAGGTCATATAATAGTATCTAACTAGCAAGCTTGGCTTTATTAAGTCTAAGGCGTTGGCCTCCTTTTGTCGTGGGAAAGTCGACTTCGCATTGAATCTAGGACAATGTGATGCACTGTATTGTAATGGATTAGAGCGACATGTGATAACTCTAAATTTCACCATCTACATAATAGAGTGAGGCAATTTTGCCCTGACAACCTGTACGCATAGAGTATGTATCTGCTGCAGCCTTGAACTCGCTTACCTCGTAGTATTTTACTGTGAATTTTCTGACGAGAGCGTGCTCTATTCCATAAACCTATCGAAATATTTTCTCTACTATTATTATGATTAGTAGCTGATTATTGTTTGACTCATCGACGCCCACAACTCTAACTGCAAATCCGCGCTCTCCGTCTGACTGGGATCTAAAGCTTGAAATCAATCGCATCTTTTTCCCCTTCGTAGTGTACGCCTATTCGAAATAAAGATGACAATAGAACGTCTCTGCGATGAAGCACGCCGTCTCGTTCATTTATTCAGTCTTTGTACACATGCGGATACAGAAAGCGTCATGGTTTTGTCTATGAGCGCTTATCGATGTATCAGTTCCCCATTGGTCCGCTAGAAATCTGGCTAATTATGATAATAGACATTATTACAGTACGTTACTACATGCAGACCAATTTTTCCTCTCATTCGCAAGTTTGTGAAGAGTATCAAGTATTGTCACATTAAAAGGGCGGTACCATTAAAATCACCCGAAGGAACAGAATCGCTTTGCTTCCCAAATTGCTCTTTTCTCGTTCTGCCGTCCTGTTGGTAGCTCGCGAAATGTGTGTATTTATTGTATTATTGCCTCCTGTAACCGGACCGGTATGTCAGCTTCAATTAACTTACCACAGCCGCTTTAACGAAGTTTAATTCCGAAGTAATTAGCTTTGCGCCGTTTTGTATGAAAAATCAGGGGTCCAAACTTTCCCTGGGAACCTTTTATTTCAATTATTTATTGTGTGCCGACGAGTTGAACACGATAACTATATTCAATCAAGTGTCTGAAGTTGGCCACGAGCCGTGAATAGGCCGAGCCTAAGCTCGTTACCAATTACTGGAGTATGAAAAATGACGTTGCTGAGAAGTGCCCTTTATTTTCGAGTTTGTTCGTTCGATTCTTTGTTCTATTGAAAAGTTCGCTCCGCTATTACCCTCCGATGCATACAATTTCATTTGATGTTAGCTGGATGTGTTTACGTTATGTCTGAATAGGTTTTCATTGGCTTGAAAGTAAATAACGCAAGTCGTCTTAGTCCAAACGACAGCTAACACATATGCAGACGAGATCTCATTTCATACATACTAATAATAGTTGCTATCATGACATAGGACTAGATGTTTCCTACTAATAGGACCACTGCTACTATTGCTCCCCGGATACATTTTATTATTAAACGGTCGAAGTGACTTCTTCAATGGGCGTCATCGCCGGCTGCCACGTGTGTAGGTGTCCAAAGGTGCCAGGAGGCGTTCGTTTGCTGTCGAGGGGTCCTGCACCAACTCCGGAACTGCTGGCGGAACCTACCCCTGAACCTCCGCCGGCACTGCAAGCGGCACCCGTTTTCACCAGCGAGTCCGGTGATCCGGTCGGGTCTTCGGTCATTTCACACTCGCAACACTCAGACAAAAGTAACGTCGGGTCCACCTAAAAGGGTTAATTTAGATGGAAATGTCGTTGTATATAATGATATAGAAAGAAACAGATCGCATATGTTTTACGAACGTATGAAAGCCAAACAAATGTAAATGGTAATCAAAATAGAACGATAATTGAAATGTGGTGCTCAACCCAATAAATAAAGCAAATATACCTCGAATAACGAACGACAATTTGAAACAGGCATTTTTTTTTCGAAAGATATCTGGCCCGTCTGGACCTATCAAAAAGCATCTAGGTCACACTGTACTGCCTTGATCTTTAGCGCTTCATTTATTGAAACATATGTTATTCAAACTAAACTATAAGGCTTGAAATCCTACGCAAGTACTATATTATATGATGTTCCGTTTGAAGAACCGTTTGTCTACACACTAAAGATCAATATCTCTTCTACGAAAATGTTTGCCCCGTACCTACATAACATAATAGCACTGGCCATTCTTCAACTATACTAATGAAATTGCATTGAACTGGCAAGCGCGGAACACGTTGATGTCTCTTGTCAATTGTTTCGTACCACAACGCCATAACAGAAAACTATTGTTGTCTCTGTATTTTCCCGCATTTTTAAAACAGCTTATGTGGATACTAAATATAGAGAAAAAAATCTCTTCCTATTATTAGTATTATGACCTGCTTACGGTGTAGGAGTTATACAAGATACGCTCTAAAGATGAAATATGGAAAAGTTGTATCCTTCAAGGTAAATTCTCTAATGTACAAAACGTAAATAAACAAAACAAAAGAATCATGTGAACGTGTTAGTTCGGTCCCAAAAACAAAGTTCCGCATTTAAACGAGATTATATGAAGCTTTTCGTCATCGATTTCGAAATTGTTTGATTGGCTCGACGGCTGTGAGCCTGATTTGGGGGAGAAAATCCTTGGGTTCCGACATGCTAAAGTGAAGCAGTAAGCTTTAACGGTCCAGCCTTAAAAAGTCATAGATAATTATCTAGTGAAATTAACGTTTTCGATTTTCATCTTCATCTGCTCTATCTTGCTTTTTTACTGTACCTAAAACTTACGTAAAGATTTGTGTTAATTATGAATGCGCATGAATAAACGAGGTGTGGAATAAACAATGAGTTTTTAGTGTTCAATAGTTGAATCTAGGGTTCACATATATTCAGTTGGGCGACAGAAGGTTAAGCAGGTCATGCAGCATGAGGAAACGAGCTGTTGCCTGTGAAAACCTAGGTTGAACATGAGAACGGGAGGGGGAGGGGGTAGACGCTGATGAGTAACGCCCTCAAGTGCACCCCAATGCATTAACCATGGCCTACGCACCGATGCAGTGCTGGCCAACACCGGTTGGTGCCATGAACGAGACCAAATGTAAGTAACCAGGCTTGTTTGGACACCTGCTGACTATGCCACAGTAGAGGCTACAAAGGTTTACGATGTTCCGACCTTTGCCGATTGTTACTACTTTCAATAATGTACAACTGGTGTCGCTGTGGTAAATGAAACAGAACTATGTACATATAGGAATACCATATCACCGCTCAACAAAGGTTTCATACTCACTCTGTAACATTATTTTTGCTTTTTTTTCCCAACGTACCGTATTATGTAAACATGACACACTGTAGTGACTGTGACAGTTATGTTGCAAGCTTATCTCACCAAACGTATTGTAAATAATTCTATAGTAAACTTATAAGGCTAGAACATGGGTAATGGCAGTTCTTCAAACGCGTCCTGTCACGTCCCTTCTGTTTAGTTACTTTTATGCACCGCTTAAGGGTACTCTCATCAATAAGCTCATTATACTTCGGCCACAGGAAGATCTTGTGTGGTGAATGGATATTGGCCACGAATTTACATTTCAAGGATGGCTATTCTCGGCGAAAGTAGATTTTTGATGCCTAGTCTATTTCACTTTCTGCCCAAGTCTAAAGGTTTGACGTTTGATAGAAGTGAAAAGTTTTTATGTGTTAAGATACGCTTGGGAATAATATGAGGATTAACAGGGAACTGTATATCGCCTAGCTACATTCCACAGAAAAAAAAAGTCGCTAGGCAAGAAAAATCTACCCCGGTTCAAAACAATGTCAAACCATTTATAGCAAAAATCGATGCAAAAAACTGCTTTACGTACTTTGCGCTACTATTAGATTAAAAGACAGCTATTACTTATGTTCCAACCTAAAGAATGTGACACAGTGTACATTATCGATTGCCATTAGGGCAAAAATGCAGCGATATTCTACTATGAAGGGCTGGAGAAATTTGGCTCCAGGAACTTGTCGTCGTAGTGGTGTGGTGGATGACGTATTTGCCTGCTAATCTTATGCACACGTTATGGTCTAGGTTCGAATCCTGGCATAAGCAGGCTTCGTTTCGTGCTGGAGGCCAGCCGTCTCATATAACAATGCCTAGCGGGGGTACCGAACGCTAAAATCGAGCAATAGAAGCCCAAAAGCCTAAACGTTGTTATGCCTACTTTTATAATCTGTGGTGATTATTAGGGACGATGCTCATTCTACAGCCAGTGTTTATTACAATCTTGTGCTTTTTGTCTTGCCAGCGTGACAACCTTAGACACTACGGAGTGCTCTCCCATGCGCTAGACATGCACATATATATAAGAGTTGCATGCTTTGACCATTTTGATTAATTTAAACTTAGAAGGGAACATAAGTCATTTAGATTACGCCAATAAGACGAATATCGCTTTAAAAGAATCTGGTGTTTCTGTCTTTTTTTTTTTTTTTTTACTGAAAACCAAAGTGAATTAACTGTTGATATTTACGTTAACCTCAATAAATGAATTAGTTAAATATAAACTGACACGGTTGAATGCAATATTGCCCAAAAAAAGTCACTCACCATTTCTACTAGTCCTTCTTCCGAGATGCATGTAAGTAATTCGGGCCGCTTTCCGATTTCATTGAAATCATCGTTATCTTCAAAGTTGCTCATTTGTGCGTTGAGAAGATCCACGGATGTTGCCCAGGATACCGTGCGCTGCAGACGGTCCAACTGAGCCCGGCACGACACGCATTCATCGACTGTTGTTGTTGGTCGCCGTCATCATTGTCAAGGTTAAACCGTTACGGATGTTTACGTGAGCACAAGGGTAAAATGTATTACGATGCGATGAGACGGCGAAAAGTACAAGTTGTGGGATCAAAAATAAAGTAAGGGTGACAAAAAAACGTTCAGCTTCCCGCCAAACCCCACCCAATCTAGGCTTGGAATGGGCTCCGTATAACCACGAATTTCACATTAGAGGAAATAAGATAAATCATACGAAACCGCTTCACCTTCTCCTAGCTCACGGAATTATAGAATACAAGTTCTCTATAGCTTTTCTCGCAGAAACCGTTCGTCAAAGCGACGTAGCTGTTGACGTGATGGAATCATTTAGACATTGTATAAAACGTTGCTGTTAAAACCATTCGTTCTTTGCAGTGTTGATTTGTAAACAGGAGCACGCCGTTTACTGCCAGCAGTCAATGTAAGATTACGGAAAAGAATGTGTGCCCCCTTGATTACATCAAACCGTCTACGGGTTAGTGCGGTAATGGAAAGATGCTTGGACTCTACCTACATCTCTACTATTTGACAGCAGTATTTCCTACAGTTGCTGCATCGTTTTTACTCCAGCGATTCTCCTCACCCAAATTGCTCTCTGTACAGAAGATTTCGGTAACATTACAAGGGTGGTTGGCCTGTGGCCCACTCCGTTTCCTCCTGACGTCGACCAGTTCTTTGCTAATCTCTTTTCCAGCATTTTGCAAAGCTGCAACAAACTGTGCCATAGAAAAGTTAAAAAGGCTGCTTCGTTCTTTACGCAGAAGCCGGGCCGCGGCGTAATACCACCGTGCACCGCCCCTAGAAAGGGCAAAGTGCGCGTTTTATGCCCTTTTGAGTTCAATTTGTGTTTCGACGAGGCAACAAGTGCAGATATTCTGTAAGAGGAAAACGCAATGCCCGATGTGCGCACATATTCACGCGCAGACAACTATTATAGGTCAAGTGCCCATCTTTTTTAATCGTGTTTACACTATTTATCGACGGTGAAGCGATGTCGTCCTCTAAGTGAGTACTCTTCTATTGTCACGTATTGGCGGATATGTTCCCTGTAGATAGGGTAGCCGCAATCTATCACTTATAGACTTGATAAGATAGAATGTGTATATTCAGTTGGGTTATTCACACACTAGGGATCTGCAAAGGAGCATCATTGACATGCGCGACCTTTTTCCTCGGCCTGAGGCTTTGTTCTCCGTTTTCTCATTCATTCGTTTTCCTCTATTTCGTCTTTCTCTCTATTGGACTATTCACTTGCTACTACTGACCTCGGCTGTCGCAGTCGATCCCGCCTAGATATGCCGTTGACCCGCCGACTGGGCTGTAGCGGAAGCCTCCATTGTACGCCGACCCCATACAGGAGCTTCCGTTACCAAGAGCGGCGGAAACGCAAGCCGAACCCCCTACTCTGCCTGCTGCCAACATCGGACAGTAGTTGCCGTTAGCGTGCAGTGGTCCCGCTAGAACTCCAGCATTGTTTCTTTTTGAGGCCACAATTCCCGCCGAGGCAGAGTTATTGCAGAAACTGCTGTTGCCAGACTGACTGCATGTGTGCCAGGTGCTTGATAGGCTTCCGTTACTGTAAGAAACAAAGGGAGTCAGCAGATGACATAGGGAGAAAACGACGTCGCGAATAAGAGAGCGGGACGTCCAAGAATCCGAATATGGGTGAGGTGTCAGCTGAATCATAGAAGAACTGCGCCTAAGGCCTTGCTAGGGCAGAAAATCGCATAGAAAGAAAAAAAACTGGTGCCTTAAGAATGATATGCCAATTGCCTGCGGCTAGTGTCGAAATAGTATCACTACAGTGCATTGTATGCCGTGTGTGCGCGTGTGAAGAACTAAGCATGTCCGAAACATCTGGCGTCCAGAAAGGAAAATGTACTTTGATCCTTTTATGGATGTGGTGTATTGTAGCAAAGCAACGTACACTTTACCGGAATCGATCGTCTCCGTAATCAGATAGATAATAAGCTAAGGCACAAAGAAGCGAATGAATAGGCAGCAAACCAATGCTGACAATACATTTGGACCTATTATTGGGCCGCGGCATCTTTCTTGTGACATTGCGCACTCATAATATTGTCAATTGGTTAAGAAGAGAGCAGAAGTTGCATGATTTGCTTAGTAGTCGAAGTGGACCTGAGAGAACGCTCAACTAAATCCTGCATATAGTTCGCTTGCCGTTGGCATGATGCTTTTCACGGTAATACGGATGCGCTGATATGACGTATTTTCATCATGCTACAGATCGTCCTTTGTTCCTAACCTTTAGAAAATGACGTCTGCTAGAAGTCCTATGAGAAACAAATTGCTGTAAAGCCTGCATGAGTTTATATTCAAAAGACGTACACACCGTTGCTAAAGTGACGTTCATCGTCTTTGTCAAACGTCGTCTGCCCTTACCTACCGTTCGAATGGATCGGCATAGAGAATTCGACACGCGGCCCTGTGGGAAACAGGCAGTGCAAACAAAACAACGCTGGCAAACAGGGCACATCCCGATGAGACGTAGAACGGCACCCGCAAATCGCCTGTGCACCAAAAACCTCCGCCTGGGCCAAATCTTGACCCAGCTGAACCCCCGCTACCGGAAGTACTTCCGAGCATGCCACCGGTTGAAGGTGCCGTCGATCCTGAAAGGTATTCTATTCAGATAGGAACAAGTGGAAAGGGAGTGTGATTGAGATTGCCTTTTGAGCGGTCTCAGCTGCAATGACAATATAGTATTTGACGTTGGCTAGCGAAACTCGCTGTGAGTATAGCGTGAAAGGCCGGGTTTAACAACGAATTACCAGTTTATTTAACACTAACGTTCCAATGGTACTAATCCAGAGCCTTCGTGAAGCTATTATTCGTAAACATTAATATCGATACACATGAACTTCATTAGAGCATAGAAAACTAGAACGATGGTAGCGAACTACTTAGAATCCAAATGGCTGGGACGTTATATGTGAAACGACGGCGTTTAAAGGATTTCGAAAACGCATAACGCTCCACTTTACTGATAATTGCTAACGTTCATTTTAAATTTCAATAAAGTATTCAGAATTTGCAGATGCACACGGATCAACAATTGAATGCAATTCGCGTTACTAAGCTTTGCAGGCCAATATCAAGAGATGGACCTATGTAGGACATCCAAATAATCTATCTGTACTTCGTCAAGCTTTTGTTGTAGAATGGGTTCTTCGTCCTTCTACAAAACTTCCGCTTGTACCAAAGATCTATTTGCAAAAGCAAACCAGAAACAAGCTGTGCTTTACGCAAATTATCAGACAATATTACATTATCGCTTTGGGTGCCATATGGACACGAGTGAAATATGTCTATAGGATGGTCACTGTGTCTCCAGTCCGTACGGAGTCAAGAGTATCGTCAATGCTAATTCTGCAGGGGAACTGAGCGAGCTAGATCAATCCTCAGACCAAAATTCAACTTAGTAATAATGCATATATGGATCAAGCTGCATTTGCAACAACGTGTCACATGTGGCTTCGTTTTTAAAAATAATACTACTTCATAATAAGCTACGTATAACACTGCATTGTGACTAGTGACGACAGAGTTCACCATGGTAATATTATTTATACCAAAATAATGCATAATCACTGTAACTATACAGGCTTCGATCCAATTAAGTTAGCTTTACAAGACGGTATCGTAACTTCTCGAACGATACGCAATTTGTGCCAGTGTTTGGACCGTTTCAAAGCAGGCTTCATATTGCGAGGTAGAGAAATCATAACATTTTACCTGCCTAACTTACCAGCAAATGATTATAAAACGTTCACTTGTCCAAGTATAATCACAGTCTTTTCCAGTATGAGGAAAAATTTTCGTCTCGTTTCGAAGATGAACAACACATTGTTTCGCTCGAAATCCTTAGCGGCCTATTTCAGCCCATTTCAGGCCCATTTAATTCCGCCTTAAGTAACGAGCTCAGTTGATATTTTATCGAAAGTGAATAAATTGTGCCGAGCTCATTTCGGCCGACCAGATAATAGAAAAGTCCTTAATGAGTATACTAGTTTATTTTCTCTTTTACGCAGCACTGATTGTCTTTTTGCACACATTTTGGCCTATATAGCTCCATTTTCTCTTTCTTTCTTTATATATATTAGGAGATTAATTCTACCTTTGTTTTTCGATGAGAACTAACCATAAAGTTAAATCAAGTTAATGAACTATGCTACATAAACTTGACCAAAATTTACGGTGAATCCTGACACTGACGGGTAATTGGCAGAATGAGCAGAATGGGTGCGCTCATCGACCAGTGGACAAAACCCCACGCTCTCGAGAAGTGCCTTGCACGCAGCCGTTCAAACACTAACAGCTTCAGCGAATAGCCGAGGCCACCAGAGAGAGCTCCACTTAAGACGGCGAGCAAGGCCAGTCCACGGAAGCCCCCCAGAGCCATGGGGGAAGCACAAGAGAAGCTCAAACCTAGAAGACCAGCCTGGAAATGCCAGCAATTGTTAGTTTTTATTTTCGTCAGTTCACACTGATCCATACATAAAGTTCTATACTTACTATGTTATAGTGTCCAGAGTGATCATACCTGGGATAAATATTTTCGACCCACATAACAATCGTCCGAGTTTCCCACAATTAACATCCCGAAAAGGCACGTTCCAAAAGTATGCGCCAAGCCGAGAATTGTTTGGAGGAGATATTGGTCACCTAGCGTCCCCATACTAACTGAGCCGCCTCCATCTTCCGAAACTGCTAATGGTACCTGTACAAATAACCAGCATATATATATATATATATAATGCATTGCATAATTACGACGTTCCGCTATTAATGACTTATTTTATTTGGCTCTAATTGCAAACGTTCCGTTTTCTTTTGACACAAGCGTTATCGTTCCTCTTATTAATATGCCATATTTCTTTGGTGAAATTGAAAAATACTTACGATGAAGAGAAATGGCGTATATATAGCAAACGACGCAAAGAAGCATACGACCATTAGAACGCGGACGGTTTTCGTTCGAAGTGTCGAAAACTCGAACAAAGGTGGTTTCTGACTCGTTGTATTCTTCTCTTTGATCTTCCGACGCTAAGGTCCGCGCAATATGAATTTCCATGCGAATTAGATCCAAACAAAAAGAAGACAAGATCCCGAAGTCCCATGCTCAGTAATACCAACGTCGTTGCAAGCCGCAACAGGCAACGCGCAAAACGATACGAGCGTCCGAGTTGCCCAAATCACACAATGGCAACCGTCGACAAAGACCGCCGGGAAATTGGCAAAGAAAAACAGGATTTAACTCGTTAAATACAGGATACTACAATGAAAATCGCTGCTTTGGCTGTTGAACATTTTCGAAGCAAAAGCGATGAGGGACCAGAGATGAGATAAAAAAAAAATAATTATTGTCCCCCTTTTAAGATGGGCGGCCCAACTCGAAAGGCTAAAATATCGCTATCAGGAAAGGAATACAAGTAGGAAATCACAATATGGAAGGAAACACTATATAGAGTTTAGATAAGATCTAATACTATTCAGCTTCTTCATTCTGACAACCTGAGTGATAGAATCGTGTCATTAACTTTTCCTCTCTGTATTTTAATTTTTCATATCATTTTTGATTCCAGAAAGGTTTAACTGAGCAGCGAGTTGGCGAGTTGAAAATTAAACTCAACTGATCGAATAGACGATCTCTCTGTTCTGATCTATCTAGTTCTCAACTCAGCTAGCCAGCCTTACAGATCTTCATCGGTGATGAGCCTTTTAGGAACACACAACCTGGGTCCTGCGTAAAACTGAAAGTACTCAGTGATAGAGTATGGTAAAATTCCGAGAAGGTGTCATGGCCTAGGATTACAGATGCCGACAAGACTTTTCCGTTTGGAAAAACGAATTTTCAAGAAAGAAGAAAATTTAGAAAAAGACCTCGTGAAGAGGGGAGGTTAGACTGGAGACACTTGAAACAGAAAGGCCAATACTCAGTAAAGTGCTTCGAACTGAGGGGAGGGAACAGTTCATAAAAAAATGACTACAGAAAAGGTCATAACTGACCATTACAGGAGCATCAGAGACTCAGTAAGAGAAGTAGTTCTGTCCGCACTAGCACCGATGTGCCAAATGGAAAAAGGTGACGCTTGTGACGACGCAATTGACGATGACAGAAATCCTAATAGTAATCGACGTATCGAATTATTTAAATAAGATAGTAGCCGATAACGATCGTCTGCCCCTTTTATTGAATCAATACAAGGCTCAGTTGAACGGGCAACTTCCTTACGTGGAACTGCTAGCTAAACCGGTTCCAGCTTACCAAGCAGGCAATATTTTGTTATCTATTAACAGATAGCTTAAGTTGGATGTCAGACCATTAATGAACTCAGGTTAGTCAAAAGTTTATATCTTATCTAAAATGGCTTTTTTGCATTTGCACATTTTTGTTTCGATGTGGAAAATGGAAAACTATTATTATTATTAAGCCGGGATAACTATGTATATTGTTATATATTTTAACTGATTATTTTGAAAATATTCCTATGCATTGTACATAAATAAAATTCAGTGCTGACTACCAATCGATAAACCTTATTCGACAACTGGTCTATCGTTATTTTATCGCTAGAATATTGTAGAGACGGTAACTTTTCTATGCTATATGATTTTAAGGGCACGAGATACACACACATATATATGTACACATAGAGGACCTACATAACACAATGAAATAAATAGAAAAATAAAACGACCATTTCACCGAGAACGCTTGCGAATGTAGCTCACAACTACAGGGCGTTAGTGGTATTCCCGAAAAACGTTACGTGTATTTGCCAGAAGTGTTAGCTGTGTACGAATGCCGCTTCCTCCTCCTATCCACTCAACCTTCAAATTTGTCACATTTTCCTAATTTTCACGTAAAATTTGCGAAACGAAAAGAATGATAAAGTTTGTGAATATTTCAGGTAAAATTCTTTTTTCAGAGGGTGGACTGGTTTGGCAATGTATAACAATTGCCAGCTCTTACAGATTACATGTCACGTCTCTGAACCCCTCCGCTAACCCGTTCCTCCCTGATATTTCCGGTAATGCAAAATTCATACGTCAGTATAGCTACCTTTTTTTCAGCCAGCTCAGAGCACCAACAGCAGTTCATCTTCTGCTGACGGACTCAAAAGTAGAGCTTTTAAGCGACCCCTGTTCCATCGTAAAAAGCACTTGAATTTAAGATTGATCGGTAAATAGTCACAATAGCAGCCCAGACATGTCCTCTGTTTCTTATTTCTCTCAGCCGGTTTGCTTCGTTTTGTAAAGCAACGTCGCAACTGGACGTTATACATACATACACGCTGTCTCTTTTAACTGAAATAAAACGACTTATCTTTGTGCCTCAATTGATCTGATATTTCAGATAGACTATGTCGCAAAACGGTAATCAACATTATATAATTTATCCTTGAAAATAAACTTTCCTATATTTTCAGTTAAGTGAACCTGAGAAAGTATATATGACCAGCTTGGTAGATATAAGGAAATATATCCTGGTAAGTAATAATGCACCCTGAATGTACCTGGGTGCCAACAAACAATAGTTATATGCGGGTTAGTTACAATTGCTCATTCTTCGACCAGTAAAACGTATTTATGAAGAATTGTATCTTGTTATAGTTTAGAAAATACTCTCCATGTAAATATTCTTAGATAATTAAGAAGACTTTATGTAGTCTTTTTTTACTTTCGGTGCTTGCTGGGATAATATTCCAAGAAATTTCCTTAATTAGAAGTGAGAGTGCGTTTTCAGACCATTCATATAAATAGAAAGATACCTACATATCGTAAAACGAAGTCTCATAAAAATACACATCATTTTTTTTATCGGTAGCTTTTATTGTTACTTAGTTTTTTTTCCAAGGAATACGATCGCCCGTTCCCGCTGGCCCATTTTATTCTTTGCACTTACATTCTCTACGTGCATCTGTTTTCTTCTAATGCTATCAGACCAACAACTATCGCTCTCCGATCGAAAAGTAACGTTTGCACTTACTGAGCGACCACTTCGCTGCATGTATACACTACTCGTATCTATTGACTTCTTATAATAACCTAATAACTTGCACGCAAGCACATCGTTATTTTGCGCCACTTGGGCTTTACGTGGCGGCTGTGGGTGCTACTCCGGGGAAGTTAGTTCAGATGTAGTGGTTTGTGTAGTGTTAGTTACGATCCCAGCCTTAATACATTATCTTCTCTGGGTTCCTTCCCGTATATCGAGGAGGGTTGATTTATTTGTGGTGGTTGCAGACGACGCCGCCGCCGCCGCCGCCGCCGCTGCTGCTCTGGATCGAGCGTCAATACAAATGATTCGTATTCGCTGGAAAAACTAATGAAACCGGTTTTAATTTGATGGTGACGTTGCTACGTTATCTGCAGGCCCGCTTGCTGCTTGCCGCGACATCGGCCCGCTGGTTCAGGCCAAAGCACTGGTCCTGTGAAGTCCAGATCCGAACAATGGTTGACTTGACAATGACGATGTTAGCATGAAGGAACTCTTTGCACACGTATAGCCTCATCGAACGCGGGCGCTTGAGGTGCTATCGTTGAGAGCACCGTGAACTGGCCCTCTTCTTTGTTGGGTTGGCCCTGGTAGCATTTTATGGTGGACTAACTCAGAGGTAAGTTAAATAAAACTGATATAAATATATAATTAAGAAAACCTGTTTCGTGTAGCTGTAAGCAATATAAAACGCAAATGTCGACCGATTTTTACAGACGACCAATAATTTTATTAGCCGGTTCACGATTCAGCGTATAACGTGAATGAAGCACAGTACGTCGTATCAGGATTGCAGCTTTCCTAAAGGTTCAATCTTTTGCCGATGGCAAAAATTACATTAATTTGACCTCCCATGTCGTGCCGGTCGGTGTAGTTACTATTGTATTTAAAGCTAAAGCATTTAAAGGCTGGAATCGTAGTTCGAGTGAGTCCTCAGCAACGCAAGTCCAATTAAAAGGAAGTTATAACCCTCTAATCCAATTGCTGAAAAATCGACTATCCCTAATCTTTAAACTGCAGGCTGGCCTATGTTCAGGGCACTCGGGAATAATGGATATGGGGCCCAGGTGAGTGAATCTTCTTCAGGGTATATTTTCCCGCAACATCAGGTGTAACAGCCGACTTGTAGACGGCCATCGTTTAGAACATTTTTTTTTTTCATTACTGAGTAGTTTTTGAGCGAATTTTTTAGAGATTTTCTTAGATCTCTGACAAAAACCCAAAGAGTACAGTTTATTTTAAACTACTTGTAGAAATGCTGCGCATACCTAATATATACGTATAATTCTAAGAGTTTTTAAATATGACTTGAACATTATTTTAAATGCGCTACAATATAAGTCGTTGGACTGACCCTTTACTTTAAAGCGGATAACTGTACCCTAAAAAGTAACTTAGATCTTGTATATTGCATGGAGGCCGTCATTTGTGCCAAACGGGCTCCTAGAACGTAGCTCACTTTAGATATCGTACAAACACTATATAGTATGCTAATAGAAGTTTTCTGCTTAGTCCTTTAAACTTACCACAACGGAATTTTCAGGCAATTAATAGGGCTGTCTTTACCGAATCGAGTTGATCTAAATGCAGCCAAAATTTTCTATAACATTTCTCAATATGACCCCTAAATTCTCACTTAAATTTCAGCCGAGTACCTTGCCTGGCATCTGGCTTAGTTAACATTTAGCTATTTCAACTGCTTATATCTATGAGCGGTTTCCTTCCACAGAATGGCTATGCGGTGCTGATCCATACAGCTTGTACATGCCAACCCGCATTTTTGTTACTATACAAAAAAACGGTGTGTACAAAAAGGGTGCATACGTATATATATATATATATATATATGTATGGTGATATTGTTAATTTCTAGAGAAGCTGATTCTTTGATTCTCATGTAACCAGATGTTTCTAATGAAGAGCTAACAACGATTACTGTCGAAACCGATCATATTTACACCGTGCGACGTCTCTGGACCCATCGACCGCCTCGTCGCTTCTCCTCGGTCCAACTCATACGGGATTGAGACAATGGTACGTTTCACAGCCGCAACAAACACAAGCGTTATCATTGATTGCTTACGCTGAATCGTTAAAAGGACGACGACGACAAGGAGGAAGCAGTCAACAAACAAATAATCAATTGATCGGCTACTCAGTTCCGTCTGGCTGTGGAGTTTACCTGCAAACGCCAGACGATACGGGTCCAAGTCGCTCATAAGTAGCGAACTACACACATTCATAAGAGCCCATTCGGACACAGGACGGGACAAGAGCTAAGCTAAACTCGCTGATTCGAACCTGGCGTCTCTCATGATAACATGCCAGGGAACCTTGGCCTTTCTCCTGGCCCTCGGCGTTAAACCGAAATGCTTAGGCGGCAGGCGCAGCTGGATATTTTTGTTTTCTTCGAAACGAAACTGCGATCCAACAACTATTGTTTCCAACCTGTAACATCGATATAGCAGTACAATGCAGTTAATACTCTGGCCGAAAGAAACCTATCTTGCGGAATCGAAAAATAGGACCCTCAGGTCCTATAATATCGGGTGAATTCAGAGGCGGTAATGAAGCTACTTTTCAGCTTAAGGAAACTCCCTTTAGAAAAATTCAGAGCGGAACAGCGTTATATAAAGATACGCCAGAAAAAAAATTACGAGAACACCGTTTACAACGAAGGATTTTGCTAGCGCCAAGCGATGCAGCGCTTGTGACCAGTTGTAACACACAATAGCACCGCTACATACTCCGACCATGAACGAAACGAAAGAGAACTACAACATATAGAAACGTATTCTATGCAACTGAGGAGTTATATGTCCTAGCGCAACAACAATAACAGATTGTTGTAAGAATGAAGGACATAATCCCGAACAGGCGAAGCTTGGTACAGGACTACTTGTAAACGTAACGGGACAGCGGTGAAATCAATGATCATCGACAGTCAATTCCCCATATCTCAAAACTGTTTTTTGCGTGAATTTTGAGAATCAACATTTATCTTACTATAATAAAGCCCTTGAAATCCATATCACAGGGACGTATAAAGCGGGTCGAAGCAAATCAGAATTCAGTAGAGTTAAAAAATGGTAGCAAGTTTCTACTATAATAAATCGTATCATGCCGCAAATACATACTTCACAACCTGTGTGAACAAAAAAAATCACACATAATACACATGAGCTTAATATAGCGTTTTTTCGTAACCATAATGTTTTTATGACAGAATGAGCAAACAAATCTATATCCTCATTTCGATATGTATTTCTGTAACAAATGTACTTTATAAACACAAATTAATTACAACTGTCTTCATTGAAGGAACAACGATATGACGATTGCTGGTCCCCTTGCCGATATTTGGCTAAATTCAGTCGTATGATGAAGCACGCTTTAGACCTCTTGTGTCGTCAAGAGTGCCGAGATCGCTTTGATCCATCTTCCAATATATATCTTTCGCATACATTCGTGTTCTCGACGGTAGTCAATGCGGTTAGCGTTGTTCGTGATACTAAAATTAGTTAAGGGGTCCTAGAGTGTGATTCAGGCAAACCTTAACTGGGAACTAGAAGAGTTTGCATAGAGCTAAATCGTGTCATGGGTCCGGAGCACAGAATATTTTCTCATACAGAACGTCGCTTTGACCCGAACCACTTTTATTTGCTTCGTGAAAATAATTCCCTTGCTAAAATTCTTATGGAACGGGGTTTTTCATCTGAAACGAGAAGAGTTACTCCTATATGTTGAAGATACAGCTTGCTAATTTTCGTAACAAGCACATGCGTTAATGAACGAATTCTTCCACGTTTCTACATCTAGTGGTCTCACCTGGTTCTTGAGATGCACAATAGCTCTTCTCTGCGGATGGTATAACGAAGCTGGCCGATAGAGCATTCCAATAATGAAGAGCAAAGATACCACACCAGTCGTAGCCTGCAGGCCATATCGCCACCCGAAAGAGCTGCAAGCATTTACAACATTCAAAAACGACACGATACCAACCGAAATGCTTTGGCTAATGTTCACAATTTGTTCTTGTTATTGGAACGTCCTGAACGTACACCCCCTAACAACAAAAACAACATACGCATATATCCACCTCCGAAAGAGATCTATACTGTTTACTTTGTATCGTCTCAAGCAATCTTCTATTCTGATTCACATTTCAAACGCTGTCGTCATACGCCGACATTCCAGCTACTGGAAAAATAGACTGCTAATGTACGACCGCTTTATATAAGTACCCTGTATTGAGGTCACAACGTTTCTTGATTAAGAGAGCTAACATGATTTGACAAAAGCCTGACATAGCTCCGTCATCTTAAACTTAATTCAATGCTGCTACTGATTATTCGAACGGAAGGGCCAATAAATCGTGGTACCGTTTGTGTATATGAGCAAGTGAATTACAGTTCATTTTTATGTCGACAAAAAAAAAACAACAGATCATTCATACACTTAAGACCCATTGGCAAAAATCAACAATAGCCGTCGTTAGCATTGTTATATCGCAGAATCTTGGCGGGCTGATCATGTAACCGCACACCGCAACCTTAAGCTCCTTATGTTTCCAGCTCTATTGCAAAAAACTAGAAGAGGCATTCTCAAGATGAGGCTCTTTCAGGGTAAACGTGAGTCCTGCTTCCTTGGGTCGAACACCCAAGCCGTGCCCGCAGCTTTCGGCGGGCGGTTTGCTCAATTTGTTCGACGAACAAAAACCAGTACAGCCCCGTCTGTTATCGAGTTCTTATGCTGAATCTTGCTGGCGCTATAAAGCTACTAGGAATAGACATAGATGGCGAACATACAGGGTTATCTCATCTGCGTTCATCCGTTTAGGCTGGCACGCAGCTCGGCACGATTGAACGTCGGTCACCCCACTCTGTAGTCGTGCCGAGAGCCAAGATAAATGATTTGACGGCAAACGTATTTTCTTAAGTGGCCTATAGGTAGTAAAGCCTCGTGACAGCACAGGAGGAGATAAAATCGAATTTTGCATCGCTATAATATGTAATACTCTTAAATGTTTTGAATTGACTATCCTTTATGGGCGTACAAGAAAGGCTGCTTGATCATACTTATTTCACGATAGTGTAGACAAGGCTGGGTGCCGTACTAAACGCTGCTTATTTGTACCATCGAATTATTGAACTATTAGAGGCGAACGTGGTACGTTCCATCTCAATTACACAGTGTAATGTAATAGCTATGGTAATGAAAATTATCCTTAATTAACATAAGCTATTTCATTATAATTTTCCAAGCATCGAAATATATTATACTATACGCAGCTTTTAAGTTTTATATGTAGCACTCTATTCCGACCGTAATTTTGGCAATTCATCAACATCATTGCCTCGCCATTGTTGTTCTCGGACTATTCTAAGCAAAAATGATGATATTAATAGTTCAGAAGTCTACAGAGTCTTCGCTCGATCCCCTTTCATGTCCCTCAACGTTGAAACTTCAGCCCCTCATAGAGTTGCCTTGTCTAGTTGGTAGCTCGAGTGTTTTAGAATGATGTCAGGCGAAAATCGGCGTCTGCCAAAATTAGCCCTCGGCCGACGACATCACAATTGCTTAGATTTCGCCATCGGATGGCTTTATACGAGCACATGCCGCCGCGTTCTAAACCAGCTATCATAACAATGACGCTCTATCGATTAAATGACAAGATTAAGTGTCTGAATTATCTGAGACCCTATAAGGCAGGTGTCTTTTCTACAGAGATAGAGTTCGTCTATCGTCTTCCGTCGAAAAGTTAGACCGGCTGGCATTTTTGACGCCCATCAGGAACTGAGCTACCTAAGCTTAACGGGGGCGGAACAAAAGAGCACCAAAAAAGTTCAAGTGTCACTGCTCTGTAGCTGTTCGAAATGCTTTGAACGGCTGATCTGGTCTCGGATCGCTCCGATTCTTTCGAGCCGTCGTACTAAAGACGAAACCAGAGTGTCTCATTTGTCTTCAGATTAATTCTGTCTGACTAAGCCAAATCCCTGACCCGCTGTGATTCTCGGTTCTAGCCTTGGAAGCAGAACCAGATCAGCGCCCCAGTACAGTTAGTGCACATATACGAGTCACACAGAAACACAGAGTAGGAGAGTATTTTCTTAACAACGAACCTTCTCAACCATCAGGGGACCGCGAATGATAGTTTTTTGCTGGAAGAAAGAGCTTTTGATCTGTCGCTAATAATGATCTACCTGAGCGTTTTCTCCATATAATACAATAGGCCACGAATAGTAGACGCTACTGCGTCGTTAAGCGACCAGGTGCCCTTGCCCTTACTAATGTGGGAGAATCTGACGATATTAAATATTACTATAGACAGAATCCTTTACGGCAGGTATTTTTATTAGATCTCTTTTTTGATGTCCGCGTTTCTAGGACCCGGTATATGTATGCAAAAATTGTCGAGTATTACACAGGGTTCCTTCATTTTGCCCTGGTTAAACTAGCCGTAAATGATTACTTCGGCTTCTCGGTTTCATGCGAATTTCCTTCTCTCGATTCGTACCATTAGCTAAATTGATATACTACAATATCAATCATCGCAGAATACGCTATTCAGATAATTAGCGACAAAGATTATCTTAGATAATAAATGGCTATGCCGTTGTTGCAAAGAACATGCACAGGCTATTTGATTATTTGAAGCGCTAATTTAGAGAGATCTGATCGCGTATTTTGAACACTGGAAGCTAAAAAGATTTAGCAGTGTATAGTCCGACTGATTCGAAACGTACCCGAGAACGTGATGTAGAAAGTGGTTGAGTGAAGCGACACCGAGGCCCGTAGCTGCAAGACAGAGTAATTCAATATTTTCCCGTTTCCGTTTGAAGTACGAACCTACGACGATGTTGGCCGTTTCCCGAGTGACACCCAATCCAATTCCGACCACTGAAAAGCAGAGTTATAATCGAACTGTTGAACCAGGCCAGCCCAGCCCACGTCGTTGAAAAATGTTTGGCAAAAATGACGGAATCGCTTTTCCTTCGCGAATGTCATAGCACACCCTTTACATTCGATAACTGGCTGATAGAGACGCCTTTTAAGCACAATTGGATAATTGTGTATAAATCGGTCTAATAAACATAATTAGTTTTTTGTTTCAGGTAAATATCTTCCTCATAAAGTCGATGTTTTTAAACTCAATTAGAATATTTAGCAATTCCGTTAGTAGGACGAAGTGATCCGAAAAAAAAGTGAAGATGAAAGTTTCGCCTCAAAGTTTTGGGCTGCAGGATTAACAAATCTTAAAACTTACCAATGCTGATACTATTAGCATGGCCTGGCTGTCTCTAAATGTCTATTGCAGGAAGTATTTGATGCATTAACTAAAAAAGTAATTTGTTACATATTTGAAAACTATGTGTTTATGCGTAAAAAGAGAAAAACTACCCACTAAACAAATTGACAGAGGCATTAAATTAATTTAGATTCATGTTTCGCTGATGAGCCGATAGGATTCAGGGCATTAGCTTGGTTAAGAGCGGCCCAAAGTCCTTGATGGTCATTTCCAAAATATACACAGGCTAAAACTGGGCCTGGCGTATTTTTGTCATAGCTAGCTATTAACTACTAGAACTGTATAGAGTATTAACTAAAAAAAACTGAACTTCTAGCTGAAACCTCATTGATACTAATATTAATATAATGTGTATATATAAAGGAGTAATAATAGAAGGAGGCATACATTGCTACCGACACGTGTCTCAGTTTTCACGTTTGTTGCATGTTTTCATCGAAAATTCATTCTTCTGCTTCTGTTTCAGGTTTGCTATCTAGAGTTCTGCGAAACGTCCCGCGAATAGAAAAAAATGTTCCTAGTAAAAGATCAACTACCAGCATTGGTGCCTTATGGCCAGAGTGCGAATTAATAGTCCAATCAAAGTTGATCCTTACGATTCTGATATAGATCGACAGCCTTCGACATTACGCACAACTTTCATTTTCGGCTTATTTACCTGTAAGTTAGTGTTTTTGTCATCGGAGGGCAACGCCATTTTGTTGAGCAATCCTTAGACGTGGTGATGTCGAGAACTAAGCACTTCTTGAAACGTTAAATGCATCACCCCACTTCTAATAGGGATATCAACTATCGTAATAAATATAGTCAACCGGCTGGGAATATTAGAGTTTTTGCGGGGATTCGTTGTAGGAACGATTCGGTCTGCATCCACCATATGACTCAGGTAGAATTCAACTTATGACCTACCTAATCGTAAGCTGGCAGTAAATATGATCACTAGCGCAGAAAAACACCAGCCGATCGATTACCAATCCATGGCCCCTGGAAGCGTTGACATCAGAGGCGGATGGTGCATCGGTTAATGTAACATAACCAAAAAAACAGCCTCTGTTAGTCATTGACCGCTTACCAAAGCACCACGAGACGAAGATTTGATGAAACTGCGTCGCGAATGAGGTAAAAAGGCAGCCCAATGCTGAGAGGAGTCCACCTAAGACCGCGACAACCCGTGGCGATCGTCGACGGCAGATAGCCACGACGACTGGACTGATGAACGTTGATGTGGCCAAGGACAGCGCACCAGGGTAAACTTGAATTAAGAAACGCAAAGCAAGAATACAAGCAAAAGGTGCGTTAGGTGAAGACCACATTAGAAATAGTCTATGCAATAAAGACATACATAGTCAATAGCACTCATCAGGGATACCTCTTATGGAATGAGTAAACAATACAGACTAACTTACCCATGTTTGAAGGAAGGTATATATATGTGTGTGTGGAAGAAATAAGCGGGTGATTATATACACTCATGTCGATACCGTTTTAGCGCTACGATATGTATGCGGCAGAAAGACATGAGTACAGGATTTTGTTGTCATTTATTCAGATACCGATAATTACGCATAAAATATATAGAAAAGTAATTGAATTTGGCGCGCGCTGTCCTAATTATTGGTGGGAATATTTGATGAACTGCTAAGCAATAGAATCGTTGTCAGTATTAAAAATCTTTGGGTTCGTACGGGGTTTTATATTGCACCAAGCTCTCTATGCGGCTCGACTAGTTACGTTTAACAGTAGTATCCAATCTAGTTTTTTTTTCTATACTTTCCCTATATAAGGTGCGGTGTAAATAACTTCAAACTAATGAAAGTCATGGAACACAAAACTTGTATTTATATTTTGAAAAATATAGTTTACTTTAATAAGGTGACTTTAATAAGAACGTAGACTTGTCTTTGGAACAGGAGACTCACATATTTCTCCACTAAATCTAGTTTTTATCTACCCTGTATAGCCCGTGTTATGTATAGTACAACAAACAGAATAATGAGTATCTGGACCAAATGTATGTCTTAACTATCATGTAACTACATATAAATACATGTAGCGGCAATGGGTGGTTCTGCCATCTGAAGATGTCATCAGAAGGTGATATTATCCAAAACGCGTTCTCGACAGTAATGTCTTGATAACTGTAGCTTAAACATCCGTTGCCTACTGAAAACGATCACTGCGGAGTCTATTATATGTATATATATATATATATATATATAGTAGTTAGATAATGATCATCGTACCCAAGATGATGCATCTTACCCCCTTTCGACTGGGCACTCCTAACACGATTTAGTAAAATCGCATACAAATATTTTTTAGGTATCAACAGATAAGATCCAATGTAATGGTTTTACTTCGGATACAAGTAATTTTTTTTTAGTAATACTTTTTGAAAAGACTTCCACCAGCCTTAGAACGGCAATTATCCACGACCGCGGAACCTAGACGCTATAATTGAATCGACGAATCGCATCCCACCTATCGCTCAACTGTCGGACATTTTGTCATTACGCCTCTTAGATGAACATGGCCTACGGAGTAGGGTACACATACAATAGGCTTAGTAACCCATGAGATCTCCAATGAGCCTACAACGTCGGTTGGCCTAACAGCAAATACTGAACATCTCGTTAAAAACAAAGAATACGTCCACTCGTCTCAGAGCTCACTAATATACAGTACACTTGTGCAACATTCTGGTATATTGTCATATTAAATTCAAAATGCAAGGTCGCAGATACAAAAATATATGTTGTTAGTAATGTTAGAAATTTTTTTAGAAAAACCCATGTAAGCTTCTGCGAATAATAAGGGAAAATCGGAAGGTCGCGTTTGTCATTTGCCTAGTTAACAGAGAAACGCGTAAGCGAAACAAGATATAAAATTATCATCCTGTCAGGAAACCCTCTCAAAATTTATATCGATAGACTTAAGCCAGCCATGAAGGTTTCATTAAAAAATATAGCAATCAGCTGATCTTTTCTTTCTCACGGTTTTGCCACTGCCTATTTGGGTGGCTTCCCGAATCTTTTCTGTTCGTGTGCCGTGGCTGCCTACGTTTGACCGATCCCCATGCCATCGATAGATGAATGACCATGCTGCTATTCAACGCACTTTGAAAGAACTTTGGCGATTTTTTTCCTTGATTTATTTAATCAAATTGTTATAAAGACAAATGGTAATTAGCACGTAGCTATTGGACATCATTAATAATCGTCAATAATAAATAACAATAATATACCTAGCGTTGTGTATATTTGCCCCCCCTAATGTATGATACTATTGCAGGAGAAGGCCGTGTAGAAAATCATGCCAGTAGTAAAACGTGCTATCTTTATTTCACCAAAGGGGTACTTTCTTTATTTCGTTGGGAAATAAATGTATCTTGTCACGTTTTCAGATACATGATATATAAGATATCGTGTATCTGGAAACGTGTATAAATATATATATATATATATACACGTATGTAGTAGCCGAATATCGATAGAAAAAAACTAAACTACGGATTTATATATACGGAAGTATATCATTCTATAGCGTCAGTAACTTTAAAATCCCTTGCGTTATTAATGAAATAGATTGTTATTTAAATTGACCGTTTTTATCACCATTGGCTAAGTAATACAGAAACTAGGTAAGACGTTATGATGAAAACCAATTGGTGTTTTATTTAGATAAAAAAAAAAAAGCTTAATTCTAAGTTCGCTATAAATAAAAATTTATGTAAATATATTCCATTGTTTTTATTAGCGTCATTTTCAAGTCCAGAAAGCCATCCGTGCAGCCCGACACGGGGGTGGGGGAGGTTCAGGGATTTACATTGTTTTCCCGTAGATTGACCCATCCTCCTTGAAAAATGTATTAAACAAACATTATATTGGTCTTTTAAGTAGTAAGTATAGAGAGAGAAATAGCCAAACGACCTTCCAATTTTTAAATGAACTTACAACCAGTTTCGAAGCATATATGGTAATTCTTTCGCTAAACTTTCGTTTCTTCAACCTTGGAGTACGCTCAATTTTTGTAGGCAAATCGACCAGACTGAGATAAGCGCGACACCCTTCATCACGTCATCGTTCCGTTGACTCGTTATGGTGTGGAATATGTATGGTGTGTCCTACTATTTCTGTAGAGTATTGGGCTGGTTCAAGCGCCTCATCCTAGCTTATGGTTAATAATACATTAGACGAAAACTACAATATAGGTAACATGAATAACAGAAGACACCGCTGTTGCTGGCTTCGACGGTAATCCTGTGTACGTACGTTTTACTGAGAACGGTACCATTTAGTGTAGATATCGGACCCCCGAAAAATACACCCACCTCGTTTTTTCGGCCGAAGTTCGTCAACATGAACTGGCAACGGTGAAAGCCACTGCGAAGGCAAAGTGCTTTACATACTTTTCATCAATTGGGGATCTTTTTTAAGTATCTATTTCTTACATAATTGTATTATAACTTTGATTTGTTTATAGTAGTTTATTCGGCACTAATTTTTTTGTTTCGCTATAGAAACAAAAAGTTACTTTTGCTGGTGATAGCGGCGGGGCTAACGACTTCCATTCAACGATTTTCGCTCACACTTTAATAAAAATAGTTCAATTTACCAAACCACATATCATTTGTCAGTTAAAGCACGTTTAGGTAATTGAAAATTAAGATAATTTCGTGAAACTATATAAGGAAATGGGGTTATTAACACGGTGATAATGCGTAGAATCAGTGGTGGAATATTCAAAGGTGACCCACATTCACCTCTGAGGCAAACTTAAACCCTTCACAAAATGTTGAATCATGAATCCACATTATAACTTTGAAAGAAAGTTATGATACATGTTCATGATGTTTGGCAGGGGCCCCTGATATTCTTTGTAAAGTTGACGATATTTACGTACATCCTAGTATCTACGATAATAAATTATGTTAAAGGGATCAAGATAGACAGCCTGATTGAGAGTAACAGTGCAGATCCGTCATCGTTAGTTCGCCAGAATATTCCCACATATACCTTTCAATCAATCATGGGATCGTAAGTTTTTCCCTCGTTCTTTAAATAGTATTGTTATCAAATAACTTATATTTCGTGGTCATGAACAAATCAATGTTATATCAATCACATAGTAAGTACGATGCTATATACTGAAATGATATACGAGGTCAGAGGTAACAACTGCTTTCGAAGTCTTGACAGTTGGGATGCAATAAATTTTTTTACAATAGACGACATTTTTATATAGGCGCATTGGTCCTGTACGTTACTTCGAGAAGTATATAGACATTAGTTGTATGTAGGACAAGCATCTGTTCATTTGATAAATATACAATTCAGCGGGCTATACCAAACCAACACGCAGAATCCACGTCGACCATAAGATGACATGCTTTATGTATATAAATATATATGTTCGCAATCAACTGCATTTGTGGCACATAAAGAACATTGCGCAAGTAATATATTTAAGTGGGCGTCTGTGTGTTCTCATCTCAGTCTGTTTCGAACACTTAAGAAACAAGTTTTCGGCCTGAAACTTGCTCCTTGCTCAACGACTTTTGCAATCTTAGAATTTTGTGCTTCATTTTATTTTACTTTAACATGAATTCAATTTATTATGAATGTTTTAGAACATGCTAGGACTATACTACGGAAGGGGGGGAATCACGAAATTATTAGAACAGCTGCTACTACTAAATGAGTCTTGACCGCTTTCTAGAAAAGCTTTACATGCCTAAGAGCTTTTACGGCACATTTATCAGTGCGGTGATACTGTAACTCTACCAAAGACAGCTTAATTCTAGGGCACATACAAGTTTTAAAAATACTCGGTTACTACTAACAGTTGATTAAAAAAAAAAGGATCTGCTTAAAAAATATTATATGTGCAGTTCGTCAATCATATAGTTTACATAGAAACTTACTGATGTTATTTAGGGGATTTAAAATAAGTTTATAAAATCACCGCCAATACCTAAAATATTATACACAATCGAGTCCTCAACTTATGAAATTTGACAAACTTAGTTATCCTATTTCTCGTTAGACTGTCTGGAGCTATTTAATAAGTAGAAAAGCTTAAATTACTTTCAAAAACTATTACTCTTATAATGTGCGCTAGATGTTGACATTAACGGCTTAACTATGCAAGATTATAAGCCAGCTAGGTGTCGTCAGAAAGTTATGAGTTTAGAGGCAGAGATAGCGTTTAGCGCTAAAAGTCATCGCAGATGTTTCTCGAAAGCGATACCAC